TGTTTCTGTGGCTATCCAGCAAGTAATTAGTCCTAGCATTCCTTACAAACTGTAGTGCATGCAAGGCAAAAAATATCCCAGCCATCACTTTTCATTTCTCTTTTAAAGCTTTGGCTCCGAGCATTTTCTTTATGATCAAGGGATTAATATAAAACCACCAAAGTGAAAAGAGGCTAATTGCAGCTTTAGTGTCATGTCTAAAAGCTAATGCCTGCTGAATATGTTTGTATTTGAAAATATGCACAAGGAATACAAAGTTGGAATTGATGCGCTCTGCGTGTCCCAGCAGAATTGTATTGACATTTTCATTAAGATGCACTGTCATGAGGCTATAACACATTAACTTCAGCTGCCCTGCTTTCCCCTCAGGTCCAGGCTGCTGCTCTCGACGAGATGTTCCACCAAGGAGAAGCATCAGCCCTGCGCTACCATAAAGCTCTCCTGCTGATGGAGGGCCTGTCTCTGCTGCTCACTGAACAGGACGACCTCCTCAGTGTTAGCAAGTGTAAGTCTGTCTGTCCGCTCAGCTCTACAAAAATAAGGCAGGTCTGAGTAGCAGCAACATCTGCCATAGTTTGTTGTACAACGTTCTGACAGCTTGAATACTCGTTGATGATGCATTTTAATAAACGATTTAATATTCAGTTCATATTCAATCAGATTAGATTCATCACACAGGTTTTGCTCTGTCTGTTACACAGCAGTATCTGACCCAAGATTTACTAGAAAAACATTTATTATCCTAAAAAAATCTAGCATTTCCTAGCAGTTGTTTTCGACTCATGATGCGCTCCAGGGCGCATACTTATTTAATGTCCAATGAAACACTCTTTGTTTCTTATGTTCTTCAACCGCACCACATATAATTCACAAGCAAGCTAGCACTTAAAGGTTGTCACAGTTTTTGGGCTGAAACGTTCTCAAAATTGGCTTCTGTAAACGCTAATCAGTATCCATGAGAAGACCTCCCCTTAGGTCCCCAAATGTAATGGTAACACTAACATGCAGAATGAAAGAGAAGTTTGTGGAATCTTTAAGTCCCTCTTAACTCCCATGCTCATTCTTTCCAATAATCTTACATGTATATTTTGGCAGCCATGTAGCCATGCACATAAATTCGTTTCAGAATTAAGGAACGTTACAAGCACCCAGGGCACACTTGTACTTGCATAAAGTGAACATCTTTACATCTCTCTGCCCCTCTAAAATCTCTCATGCTACACAAGTGTGCTTAAATTGTCAGCATGCAGTGAGAGTCGACATGCATTTTGATGCTCTAGACTACAGCAGGGTCTGGACAACACATAGGCTACACACACAAAAGACACATGAAATTGGCAAATTCCCATAATATCACTCACTGTAACCGCAGTAACCCACTTACTGACTTAATTTTTTTTTTTCCTCTCCATGTCTTTTTGTGTCTGCAGGTAAAGAGTGCATTGAAAGACGCCTCACAGCTTTGCAATCAGGACTCTGTGTTTGAGAGCACAGTGCTGCTTTCATCTGATGTCAGTCATTTGCTCCCCTGCACATTTCCAACAAACCAAATCTCCAGCCACGTCTCATGGATTTCACTTACAAATTGCTTCAGTTTGAATAAGAAACCAAAAGAACTGACAAACTTTCACTGAAGGGGGTCTGTGCTCTCCAAATAGGGTGCCATTCATCTCAAGCTTTGGACAGTTAGTCGTGACTTCACTGACGCTGAACTTGCACCAGTGTTGGACATGATGCACATGTGCTGTGAAAGAACGTCAGCGCTCTCGGGTACTCGAGAGGACTTTGCACACGGTTCTGAACGCGGCATTTTGATTTTGCCGAGAAGATGATTCACCTCCCCCCACCCCACCTCGCAAGGCGTAACACATGCAGGAGCAATTATTTCCAAGTAGCCCCCATATCCACACACAGAACTTATCTAACCGTAAATAGATAGCATTTTAGGATGGAAACTTGCTCCTTCTACAGATTTGCAATACTTCACTCTATACACAAAATGTTATCTTTCACCTGGATGAATAGCTGGAGGGGAAGTACAGTATCTGCTGTACACAAAGAGGTCCGTCATGTTCTTAAGAAGAGTTTCATTCTCATAAAACGTATGTCTGTCTTATACAGCTATATTACTTTTGTTTCCTGTCTTGTCTTATTGTTACTTGCTGGCTGAAGGGAAGTATAAATCTAATGCTACATTTGGTGGCTGGAAGTGGATACAAGCTATATTACAAAAACAAGTTGCCAAAATTAATTTAAAAAATGTTTTATTTATAAGTTAGTTTTTATTTAAGATTCACTGTAGATAAAATATTGATGAAATAACCCCTGTGTTTGACACTCAGTCTATACTTGCTTTAATTCCAATCATTGAAACAATTATTTCACTTTCTTTTTTTATGAATGGTGGAAAATGTTTCAGTACAGACAAAGGAGGGTGCACAGAAAGCACTCACTACTTCACTGCTAACTGCGACGTATAGCTTTCAAATCCAAGACGGACTGAAACCTGTCCGTCAGCATTCCTGATCACAGTCATGTTCAAGATAGTGCAGTAACGTAGGACACATTCTTCAGGGCTCGCAGAAGCTGACATGCTGCTGTTGCTGGTTATTTCTTCACAAGATTCCATATTGTATGTGTGTTTATATGTCATCAGTCAATCCCGTCAGGAGTTTTGCAAGTATAATCACAATTGAATGTAGTGCTGCCATGAGAGGAACGGCATAAGCGAAAGGTCTGAATGTTTTTGCACTGTTTAAGTACTGTATAGGAAGGTTTTGAGTGGAACATGCTGAAAATGTCCCGTTTTTTGTATATACCGAGAAAGATTTACTAATTTAAAGATTTCAGCCTCCATACTTTTATTGCAGTTTTCGTTTGATCTTAGTTACTGTCCAAATGTAATGTAGCTTAGATGTGAGACTGTTGACAGAGAGATGGTATAAGCTATGAACCCTTAGGAAGATTTATTTAAGAAGAGACGAGACGTGACAAATTGCTTTACACTGCAAAGATCATTTGCATTGGTTGTGTCATGTTCTCTCTCAAAGTAGTAGTGTGTTTGATCTTGGTGGTTGACCTTTGAAAAGTGTCCTGATTTGGAATGCTAGCTGAAAATGTGTATTGTACTTAAATTGACCTGAACCTACAACCCAGTAGAACTACTTTACTCCCCTGAATTGTGAGCAAATGGGAAAGAGTCAACATTGACTTTGGGTTCTTTAAAGAGATGCCTGTGTGCATGCTTGCATGTCTGAAGTGATGTTGTTTGATGTATTAATGAAAAGTGGGATGTGCTATACAGAAGTAACATGACACTGAGTTATGGTAGGGAATGATGCGACTTGGACTACAGGGGATGTAGTTAAATCTGGGTTGGTTCATATCTGAAACTAAAACATCTGTGAAAACAAGGATTATACCCTCTGCCAAACCAAGTACTATTTTCTGTCCCCAATGTGTATTTTCCTCTGCATTCTTTTTTTTTTGTTTGTTTTTACATTGAATTGATCTTTTGAGTCAACAAGTGTATATTGTGGAAAAAGGAGTTGATATATGGTCAAGGCTGAAGGTATCGTATGCTTGATGAAAAAGTCAACATGGTAGCACAGTCAGTGGAAAAGCATGGAAGGACGTTTTGAAGATTTCTCTTTACATTATTTGTATTTGCTTTGTGGCCTTTTGTATTTTGTTCAAGAACTTTCTCTGAAATTGTTGCCGACATTGCTTTACTGAAATAATTCTGTGTGTTTATACTATTTGTATGAGTGTACATTCCTGGTATCAACCTATCCACAGACTCTCTGTCTCTTTTACGTGCGCTTTGTTGAGTCAGTATGTGGTGCTGATGTCTCGGAAGATTCAGTACGCAGAAATTGAAAGGTGACTTTGCAAAACGGATGCAAGTGTCTTTTTTTTTTATGTTTCTCTACAATCACAGCTATCGATGTGCAGCAATTAAAACAAGAGTGTCGTAAAAGAGTAAGTAAGCATAAGAAGCTGGCAGGGAGAGAACAGTACTATACCGCCTATACATTTCCAAAGAATAGGCCTTCTGCTGATCTTCCATATTGTCTCTTACTGTTGCAATAGAATTTTAATGTTGTCATAACCATGACAGCCACACTATTTCAGTGTTCCTGTGTGTGATGTATCCTTCACTGTTTGAGAGTTGGAACATTAATAAAGTGAAAGGAATGACCACTTGTCTTATGAAGATGTGTTTGCTCCATGCTGTCCTTCACCTCTATTATGGTGCTTTAAGTGTTACCCAGGCCCTTCAGAATTGTGTAGGGATCCTGTACACATGAAACTAAACCCCTCTCGACAATGAACCTCACATCCTCTCCGTGGCCCGGGAGTTCCAGGTAACGCAATAATAAATTATTATTAATGTATACTTGACAGCCTGTTGTTTTTCCTCATTGGTTCCAATAGATTTAAGGTACTAAGGGAAGTTGCCAATGCACTGAAAGCTTCTCTGTGCTGACCCATTGCACCCGCAGCTAAAACCAATTAAACTGGATACATAGGGACTTTACACTAGGTCTTAAAGCGACACACACACTGCATGTTAAAAATGGTTTATCTCATATGGCATATATTTACCAGCTGGTTGTTATTTCAAAGCATACGAATACAAATGTGTTTTGGGATTTTTCACAATCTTAGAAGCCAGTTTACATCCATGACACTTCCTATAATCAGTCTCCTTGGTAATTTTGTTTAAATTATTATTATTATTATTTTTTTTTGCTTTAAACCCTACATGTTCTGTAAAATTGTTAAATAATTCTTAGGCCCTCAAAAGAAAATAAAGGGCTTGTGTCAAACCAGCCAAGGCAGCTTTTCCGGGGTAGATCCCGCCCCTTAAAAAAAAGCTTAACCAATCAATTGGTTATGCTTGAACGCGTTGCCAATCGTAACCTAGGAGGCGGGACATCGTGCTCGGGAAGAAAAAAAAAAATAGAAGACCCGGTTGTCACGGCAACGTTGTTCAAGTAAGGAGCGCATGTCAAATGAGAGCAAAAGTAATTCAGGGTACCTGAGCTGTTTAGCGTCAACAGACTTTAGCCGAACTATTTGTAAGCTTACAAGTCAAAATTTGTGTACACTGGTTGGAGGAGCGAAACACATTTGGCCAATGGTTCTAGTTCGTTTAGCCTATTATTAGCAATCTTTGGTTTGTGCGAGAAACAAGCCGTCGCCGCCTTGCTAGCAAACAAGGTTAGTAGAATGGCACCTTAGCACGACTGAACCAAAGCAATGGCAAGTAATAATCTTCCACCGGTGCGGCATTTACCACAGTGGACCCGAGTAGGTCGCCTGGGGAAGTCTTGCTCTCCGCGACGTTTACCTTTGAACCAGCTGCCCCCGCTGCCTGTCGCTCCGCCGGCGGAAAAAGACCGAGGAGGAGCGGGGAGGGCAGCGGAGGTGTCCTGTCATGGCGACGTGGACCCCCGCGTGGCATCAATGCAAAGAAATATCCAGTTCCTTCAGCAACAACACAAGGATACTCTTGAGAAGCTCCACGCAGAGATAGAGTACCTCAGACGGGAGAATAAAGGTGAAGACACCGGCTTGAGATGGAAGAATGTCACTAATGTTAGAGAGAATAAAATGTAGTTTGTGTCTTGTAATGCATAGGCTACTTTAGCCGTGTTTGTAATGTAAGGAATCCACCAATAGGACCTCATAATCGCTGATAAACACAAATTATTTTGGACATATTGTTTACCATTGACCAGAAGTCAGTGAAAAGTAGCAGGGTTAGACAAAAAAAAAAAAGCAATATCATGCTGATATCAAGAACCAACTTCAATTGGATAGCACTTTTTTTAAACTCCTTTTCCAAAAGGAAATATATTAAAGGGGCAAATAACACACAAACAGATATGTTTCTTATAGAATGGGGAGCAAGGAGGGCAACAAATGTGTCCTAAGACTCCATACCATTATTTTGTTTACAGTAAAAGGGCTCAATTTAGTAACCTGCTTCGTCCTTCCAGCCTATACTAGGTTAAAATACATATTGAAGACCTGACAGTTTCCTGAAAAGGTGCTGAAAAGAAAGACATTCAATCTAGGTATGGTGGTCGCATGGCAACTCCACAGGGTTTAATGTCTCTCAGTGGGAGGTGGACAGAGATCTGGTGTCACTCCTCCGAACAGGGCACAGGGTGTTCCATATAACTGCACCTCATCACCCACCCAGGAGTCTCCCCAGTCATCTTTCTTCAGGCCATCACAATAGACATGCCCCCCATGGAAACATGGACGCTTTGCTGGGACTGTGTTACAATATTGTGCCTCCCTACAGTATAATGACCTCTAAAATTCTCTTTGCATGGATGTTGCAGAGTTGCAGTATAAGCTGATAATGGAGCCCCCCAACTCAAGTCGAAAAGGTAAGTTGTGATGCCTATTTGTTCTGCCCTTCTGTGCACGTTCAGAGTTCTTTCAGGATTTGGGTTGTATGAAGAAGGACATTATGGATAAAATCATCTACAAGGAAATGTAACCCTAGGGTGTCTACTCTCTTAAATTGTATCTCATTGTAATATATTTTTCTAAATTATAATGTATTTCAAAGGCATCTGTAAAATATATATGTTGTAGTTGTAAATATCTCATCCATAGGCCGATTATAATTTGGCCAGAGCAGTTAACAGTTTGTTTCTATCCCTTATTTCTAAGGAGCAACCCGTAGTCTACGAGGTATTAGACCCCCCACTCAGGGAAGTGAAGCCCGTACGAGACTCTACCTGGAGCAGCCACTGCAGGACCTGCGATCCTCACAGGACCAAGCACTAAGGTGAATTCTACTCGAGCTTGTTCTGATTCTGTATTTCCCCAGTCTTCCTACTTCAATAGTGATGTGGTGATTCGACTTTTTTTTTTCTAAGTAATTCACACATTTTAGCATTGACATGATAACGAAACAGGAAGCACTGTGCGATAAGCTGAGACATATTTGTTCTTTAATTCACTTCTTGTTCTTCCCTAACTGCAAAAAAAAGCCAGAGCTGAGGAAACATGTTTTTTTTTTTTTTTTAAATCATCTTCAGATGTTAAAGTCCAGCTGTAAAATATGTTGATGTACATACTGATATCATATCTTTAGCACATTTCAGGTGAAGCATTCATGAGCACATAAAACAAGTAAACAACATGTAGGAAACATACTTAATAAGGTGTTAAAAACAAAGAAGAAACAAAAAGAACTGCTTAAAAACACATGACACGGTGTTCTTACAGAATATGTGGTTGTCTTGATGTCCTTGTTTCAATCAATATTTTAAAAAGCAATGAATCAATCATTTGTTCTGATCCATAGCTGTAGGAATACAACCGAAACTACCCTCAACAATATGTGTGTTACTTTTCATTGATACAATCTCGCTGACTACCGGGGCGCAGCTATGGAGATAACAGCGATAGTCAGACATCTGCAAGGATGGACCATGCTCCAGAGGTAAAGGGGGGCCTCATCACCTCATTACTGCCTTTGCGAATCCACAGCGATCCCTCTCATCCACCACGTGCTCCCACGCTACAGGAGTGTGAGGTTATCATTCGGCAGCTCTACAATGCCAACAGTTTACAGTCCCAGGAGGTAAGTGTCCACCATCAGGCAGTGTCAGTCAACATACCTTCATGGAACTGGAAAACATAGTAGCCTTTGGATAATGAATGACTTTATGACATCTTTGTTTTGTGTAGATAATGCGTGTGAAGGCATTGCTCAAAGATATTGTTTTGAGCAAGAAAATCACCCCAGAAAACTTCATTCTGACCAAGGCCTACCTTGTGGATGGTACCCGGTAAAGTGATATAATATGACTATTTTACAGACAGTATACTAACTACTAACCTAAAAAAAAGCATAGCAATGTTGTGATAATGGTTTTTCTCTTTTTTGTTTTTGATTTTCTCAGCAAATCTTATGAAGAAAAAGTATTACCAAAACTTGGTCTTCAAACCTTTCCGGTGAAAGCGTATGTAAATCTCTTTCTCTGCCTATATAAAACTGCTTCAACTGTTAACTGTAATCGGGGCTTTTCATAACACTACTGAAGTCCAATAGCCATCCTGACACGTTTCCCCTTTAAGGTGTGGACCCCCTCAGTCTGGTGTGGTCCTCCCGGCCCTCAAACCAAGCCTTGGTTCCAACCTTGCAGAGAGACAGAGGAGGACCCGAGCTGTGCAGAGAGACCGTCTCAAAAGGACTGTGCACTGAAAGAGTCACTATAACCATTGCACCAGCTAAATCCATCTCAGGAAAGCAGCTATTCCAGGCTATTAGAAAAGAAAAAAAAGTCACAAGAAGTGATTGTACCATTGCAATGACATTTCGGAGTTAGTGATATGCATATGAAGTATACAGTATGTTGTCTATGATGGGAAAAATTGTATCCATATTGTTACACAAAAAAAAGAAAATGAAAGACAGTTTCAGATCGAGCACTGTACTGGGAGGGAGTGGTAACCTTATTACATTTTATTTTACCTAAGAGTGCATTTCAGACATTTTAACTACATGAAGGTAGTTAGTTTAATGAATTTTGTTTTACTTTTTGTTGCACATTTGTTCGTCTGCCTAAATTATGGCAGAATTATTTGAAATCCAACAATTATAAACACTTTTAAAGCAGTTAAGAATTCAAAACTAAAACCAGCACAAAAAACCAAAGTGAAGTCTTTCAAAACACATGCAATGAAAGATGCAGAAGTCAATACAAGGCATTTATCTCAGGCACTTTTTGTATTGGTTTGTAATTACACTTTATGTAACAGTGTGAAACTTTAACAGGCCAAATGTAACCAGTCATGCACACACAGTACAATAAGGCTGTGTTGTTTTATGAAACAAAACTCTATTAAATTTTATAAAGACAAAACACTCCTTGTATTTTTTTTTTCTGCTTGTACCATTTTATTTTCTTCTCCTGTAAAATGTTAATTTGATCAGTTAGAGCGGCGTCTTCTAGAGTTCATGCAGAGTTAGAACTGTTGACACTTGTTCAGAGTTCTGGGTCAAACTATTTGGAACTCTTTAATAAGAAATCTCTCACTGTGTGTTGTCATCACTACTGTACTTTCTTCACTTCTGTTTTGATCAGTGTTACTTATGACATACTTTATATAATGAAAGTTTAGCCAAGAGAAGATAAAATCCCACATATGTCTTATAGCAGGTTTCTATAAGCCTGCATAAGAGACATTGCAATTCAAAACACTGACATGTCAAATTAAAATATTCCTAATACTTTAAAAAGGGATTAAAACATGAATTGTCATTGAAGGTGTTCTTATTGAAACTTAATACTGTCCATGAAATAAATATGCTCTGCTGTGATAGCATTGATGAACTGTGATACATGTCAACAAATTGAAAAATCACCTGGCTCTATTTCATAACATTAGCACACACTAGCTTCTGGTTGTGCAACATCTTAGGTAAGCTAAGAACTGAAAAAAGCCAGACAGGGCAGACAACTCCCAGCATGAACCTAGGTTGGCATACTCCACCTCTACAACTTGTAGGAAGCAATATCCATTCATACTGTAGAATATAGAGTCATTTAGCGGTGATCTTAGCATACAACTTCTTTGTCATTGTCTCCACTGAAGTTACTAAATGCTTCACACATTCATCTGTACCTCCAAGTGCTAGCTCTCCTATTGACATCCACACAATGCCCACTCTACTCTATAATACACCTCCACTTTGTCAGCAATATCATATATTTAGTCCCAAAAGTAATAGCTTAACAGGATGGCTAACCCAGCAGAGTTCAATGACTACTCCATATCACAGTTCCAAATTCAACTTCTACACATTAAATTAATCATTAATATCAAATCACAGGGTTCATATTAAGCCTAATAATGTCAAAAATGTATAAAACTTCTTTTGCTCATTTAAAGACAGACTTTGTTTTTTTGCATGCACCCACTAGATGGTGCTGTTTCTGAATAGAAACTATTTAGCACCATTCAGTCAATGCCTACACATGTGTGTTATAACTTTATTAAGCTTCTTTCTGAAAAGTCACAGTATGCATTTTTGAGGTTATTTGGTTCAAATCTAGCATGTAGAAAATGTGTTAAGGACAATTAAATCAATGTGATATAAGTCAAATTATTATTATTACCAACGAAATCAAACTGATTCATGCCTGTCATTATCTTGTCATAACAAACATTAGACTGTATTGTCTAAAAACAAAGTAGAAAACCAATACCATGTTTATTATTGTGAAACTGCTGAGAGTTAAACAATATGAACCTAGATATCAGCATTACAAATAACTTTCCTTACTTTTGTAGAGGACGGACTCTTGTTTGTTCTGTTCTTTCAACTTTGTTGCATCACTGCGTCTTTGTGAAAAAGTGGGAATTGGCAGGCCCAGCCATTCAGACCTAGTGGGTGCAAATCTATTAACATTCAGACAGTGCTGCAGTGATGAGAGCTGCTTTGTGCCAGCTGCAGCCTCGTGAGGCATGGCCACTGAAAACCCTCACCACCCGGAGGAACAGAGCGACATCTTGACTTATTTTATTTTCATCAGAAACTGTCCCCGCCACATTGAACGGCTTGTTATGCTCAGTCAGTGTTTCTAACACATTCTTTGGATTGCTTTGCTTTGTGTTAAGACTTCTTTGGGAGGCACTGCCCCCTGCATTTAAATTCACTCTCCCCCTCTCAGCATATTGTGTTGTGGGTAGGTTAGGGAGCTCCAAATCAATGTGTCACTTTGGTGCCAGATAATGAGACAGAATGGAGAAGAAACAGAAACAAGGGGAAATGAAAATAGGGAAATACGTCAGACTTTCAACTTCAACTTTATTGTCCCAAAGGGGAAATTTATACACATTTCTGTTTAATGCCAATGTATATGCCAATTATATTCATTTTCAATGTATTTTACAACAGGAGCCTAAAGTATCAGTTGACTTACTGACTTGCTGTATAGTCTCTTAATTTGAGATCAATATTTGTAAAATATTAAAATAAGAGTGGCTGGGTAAAACTCCTAACAACAACATGGTTCATGCATAATATTGAATCAACATGAATTTTACAATATTAGGTGAAAATGTAATATAAAGAACAATTTGTCTTCATACAGTAGCCTCCTTTTTCTTGTAAGATAATAATTTTGCTAATAATGCCTTGACTGGGTTATTTGAATATCACTTCTACCACCCTGTATTTTTAATCAGCCAGATACAAGAGCGTGAAAACTCATATCTTTGATGTTAAAGGTGAGTTAACTAGGCTATTGAATGTTGAATTTGTGTTTAAAGGCTACTTCAAAGAAAGGAAAACAAAACTTAATAGAACCTAGAAGAAAAACAACACATGTTCTTACTGTTGTTATATATAAATATGCCTTTAGTGCAGGCTATTTAGACTTGTGATTATTTGCCTGGGCTGACGACACTACAGTGTTGTAGTTTGACACAGGCATTCATAATGTTCTCTACTGTAGTTGTGTCATGGAAACATGATTGACATCTTGCTCGCTACTTGGGGGTGGGGGGGGTGGCTGTCCGCGTCGTCATCACACGCCCACCCCCTTCCTCCTCCCGCCTCCCCCTCCAGGCGTCAGTGACGTGCGGATAGAAAGCGGGACCTGCCCTCCCGACGCCATTTTTCGGTCTCGTACTAGCACTTCTGGTGACTCGGGTGAGGGGGGGGACGAGCAGAAATAAGGGAAAGTATAAAATATCGGATCGTCGAGCCGGAATCCCCTCGTGAGCGGTCAAGGTTGCACGCGGGAGCCACAGCCGAACGCGCTTGCACCTGATATGCACGCGCAGGAAACGAGCGGCTTCTGTGAAATCATTTTTTTGTGTGAAGACGTGTTGCGGGCCGCCATTTTTTTGCTGTGCTGCCTCAAAAGTCTGCTCCGACTCGAGAAAGGGTACACAACACCGCACTTCCACGACGCGTGCCTTACCGCAAGAACGAGGAGGATACAAAGTTATTATTTCGACTTCTTGCCGAGCTGCAGCCACCGTGCCGACATGCGGATCTAACAGATGAGAAACTGAGGCCACCTTTTCCGTTCTCATAACTGACACTGACTGGAGGAGACAAATTATCAGAAGAGAAGCCTGCTGTTTTTTCTCGGAAGGCGGAACAAAAAGGGGAAGCTTCATTGATCATATGTCGCTTCGATCTCCGCCGATGTTTGTCTGTCGTGAGTTTTTAATATTTCTATTTTGGCCAAACAATCAGTCAGTCATTGGCTGGTGAACGCCGGAACCACAGTATGGTGTAAAGTTGGATCAAGACAGCCGTACAGCTAAAGTGATCGTCAGGGTTGTTTTGTGTTTTTTTTTTTTTTTTTTGAACCCGAGGTCTCCGGAGCTTTCTGACAGATCACTCTGCCCCTGCATCTTCCAAAATCCACCAATTTGCTGCGATTGGCTGATTTCCTACCACGCACACGCGTTTTAACTTATTGTCTGCTTCTGTGTGTTATTTTTCTTGCGTGTGGACTGATATTAACTTATTTTTGAACAGAGATGTCAACCGCTCGGTTTGAATCATCTGACCGGTCCGCCTGGTATTTTGGACCCGTGTCACGACAAGAGGCACAGAATAGGTTACAAGGACAGAGACATGGCATGTTTCTTGTTCGAGACTCCTCGACGTGCCCCGGCGACTACGTGCTGTCAGTGTCTGAAAATTCCAAAGTGTCTCACTATATCATCAACTCTTTGCCCAGCAAGAGGTTCAAGATTGGCGATCAGGAATTCGAGCACCTTCCTGCGTTACTGGATTTCTACAAGATCCACTACCTTGATACGACCACGCTGATAGAGCCGGCACCCAGGTAGGAGAGACATCCAGTAGCTACCCACTATCAGAGGATGTGCACGACATTAACATCCCATATCACCTAGGCCTCTTGGATGTGTCACACTTGCTAATCTAGGTTAACAAGGGGTCTCTATTTTTATCTAAACTAACCCACTTTCTGTCAGACTGCAATACCCATCGGATTTCACACCAATGTGGTATTCCAGGTTTGAAACTGGTGCATACACAAACACTGTGAACATGCAACCATTTTTAAAAAAAAAACAATGACCATCTCAGATTCTTTTATAGTGTGTGGTTTGTATAATTATGTATCATAGTGGCTGCATTTGCCTGCATTCATGCTAATGTTTCTTTTTGCAGCTTAAAGTTTACACTTTGCATTTTAATTAAAATGTGACTGTGAAGTCATATCAGACATTTAATATCATATATATATTTATTTATATATTTTAATTAAAGCCTTTCCAACCTTCACAAATTTCATTAGAACCCAATATTCAAATTTCAGATGAATAAACTGGGTCCTGTAATTCTATCTGATTTAACTTGTATATTTATTTGCAGGAAACCTGTACCTGGTTCATTGATCAAAGCTTTTCTAATAATCAGGCTTTCACACTCGCGGAAAACTCAATACTCGCACATTTTTTCGCTTGGACTTTATCTGGAGTATTTTCTCCGTAACAAGTCCGAGTGAGCTGATGTGAGAATTCAGCAGGATATTATCAGGAGAATTCACCTTGAACCAATGGGAGGGGGGGGGAGTGACTTTTATGCACTGTGCATAGGTGTACGTGACCGCTTCGATCTCAGTTTACGTAATTAAACTGCTGCATTATGTTTTCTGTACGCCAGTATGTTCTTGTCCCATCTTAATTGATCATGTGATTCCTTTGAACTACATACATACATTCATACAAGTTGATATAAAAGCAAATATTCTCATTATAGCATCATATAGCAGACCCTTTTGCTTCGTCCCCTACTACCGCGTTGTAAGTCTAAATCATCAACTGGAAGGTGTCCCTGTTTTCTTTTTGTCTCTCACTACATTTCGGTCTTTTTCTTATCATTTTAATCTCCCAAGGTACCCGGGCACAGTGGCTTGTCCCATCCAGCCCATAGGTGGCCCTGAGGAGAACCTGGAGTATGTGCGGACTCTATACGACTTCACTGGTAGTGATGCAGAGGATCTTCCTTTCAAGAGGGGGGAGATCCTTATCATTCTAGAGAAGCCTGAGGAGCAGTGGTGGAGCGCCAAGAGTAAAGAGGGGCGTGTCGGGATGATCCCTGTGCCCTACGTGGAGAAATTGGTACGACCTTCCCCTCACCCTGGCCAGCCTTCCCATGGATCTCGCAACTCCAACAGCTATGGAATCCCAGAGCCCTCCCACGCACTAGTCCACGCCTACGCCCAGCCACAGACACCTACGCCGATGCCCCCTGGAACACCTGGAGCAGTTGTCGCACCTCTACCGTCCTTGCAGAACGGCCCTGTCATGGCAAAGGCCATCCAGAAACGTGTGCCCTGTGCCTATGACAAGACAGCTCTTGCTCTAGAGGTATTGTACTTTTATTTCCCTTTCTTTTAACTCTTGTATACTCCTCCCTGCCATTTGAATAAGAAAAATGTGCCCCCACCGCTGTTGGATATCGCTGTTTGATGGGTTGCTTCTTTTGTTAGAGATAAAGTATGGTTGTCACAGTTGAAATATTCAGTCCTGATGATTTGGTTTCAGTATTTGTGAATTCTCGGGACAGGATGGCATTTCAAGAAAAATCACTATTGAAACAACAACAACAACAGACAGATCGATCCGTGTGATCTACATTATAAAACGTTATCCTAACAGCGCTGCATTAATATATTCATATATGAATATATAATATTATTATATAATGATTTATCGCTTGAGGGTCGCATGTGATAATCACGTAATTCTCTTTTCTGTGCACAGAAATGAGGAACAGAACATGTCCCTTTTATTGATTTAGGGATGGACCATGTCCGACAGACACTCCTCTGTGATCATCTGTAAATTCACTGCGCACTTAATGATGGCTGCAGAAGTCTGCATCTTTCTCTGTTTCCAAAACGAACAGTGCCACAGCCGTTTAACGGGCATTCTTTCTTCTTATTTATGGCTGGTTAGCAAACAGGCTTCAGATAGGCTACAGCTAGGACACCGCGTTACAATGTGGTGCCGGTGAAAAATATATATTTTCATGTTTCAGGGTGTGGTTTGGTGGTACTAGAACCACACACACCAATGATCTCACACAGCACTTATCAGTGCAGCGTAGTGAAACACCCAAAAACCTAGTTTCATATCTATTTGTTTATTCTTAAAGCTGCAACGCCTGTTTAATGGTATTGTAGCAGGATATCTATCATAGTGCTTAGAATGTGTTGAATGATTGATTTAACACAACACACTAAGGTTCAGCTCAGCCTTGGATACAGAAAGTTGATAGGCTTTTATAACCTTAGTAAAAAATATTGTACAGGCTTTGCAGTGTAGAAATATTCAATTCAAGTAAAAAACATCTGCCACAGATGTCGTGTTTCAGAGGGGGACAGAAGATATACATCATTTGCTAACCAATCACAAGAGGTAAACGGGAAACTTTTATTTTTCTCTTTTTGAAAAAGTCCTTTTACAAATTAAAAACAGAGGATTAAATTAGTGTGTTTCACATGTGTGTAGTTCTGCCCTGTTTTTGTTGTTGTTGTCATGCTTTACTGGACTCTTACTGGCATTGAAGTTGCAGTAGTCAAAAGTGAGTATTGATAGTTGGGGGGGGGGAATACCAGTGCTGCCTCCTGCAGAAGTCTTTGTGGTTTAATGTGTGAAAGTTTCTTAACATAATTTGCAGCTCATCCACAAAACATTGTAACAGCTAAGACCAAGATCTCACTGTGTTCACAGCAAAACCTTCACAACCAAGCAGTAGCCACTCCGCCCACCCCTGTCGTTGCCTGGTGGGCTCTGTATGACAACTCAAAGTTGTTCACTGACACAGGCATCATGCTGAGTCAAAATGTTGACATTTGAAAAAAGATTTATTTATCTCCTTGGAATTCTAAATTCAGTGCAAAAAGCGCTTCTAAGCTATTGATAGATAGTGAGGGAGTGTTTAGTTTGACCACAGTTCTGTGACTCATTTTCCACTATTAGGTTATAGTGAAATCAAACTCTCAAAATGTGTCAAAGGCTGCTGCTTCTACTAACCAGCTCTGTCTGCAGCCTTGCTTCTATTCTTAGTGTCTGACTTTAGCTAATACATATCTTCTTTGTCGGTAGTAACATGTTGAGGCATGTGATGTAATGCATGATGTACGCTTCATGTATATATTGTGGGAGCTCCAAGATGCTTCACTGTGATAGCAGACAGAGCTACAGTGATGCCCCTGGGGGCCAGGTGAATGTGAATGGTATCTTGGCCAATCTCTGCTTTTAGTCACCGATATTGAGAGTCTGTCAGTGGGCCTAGGGAGTAAAGCAGGATGCAAAAGCTGAGTACAGTGATGCATATCATCTCCCGTGACTCATATACAGAGATAATGGTGTACATTTATATGATGAGAAACCTGGTGCATGATACTCCTGGGAAAGGCTAGAGAGCTGAGCTTTAGCTAACAACATTAGTCTTGTTTTCTGCTCCTTGCCCATGTAACACTACATAATTGACAACTGATAACATTAACACTGATGAAAGTGGGCTTCTGGGATCAGCACAATAGACACATTGGCTTGTTGGCCCACTGAATTTTCTGTCTCATTCCACTTTTTACAACAACAGTTGAGCATCTGTCGGAGGAGAAGCGTATCAAAATGTAACCTACCAAAAAGGTCCAACCAATGAAGTACAAAACAGCTTAAAAGACGCCAACATTAAACAATACGATGTATCTCAGTCAGTGCTTTTACAGGATGAAAGTTGTACTGGGGAATGCGTCTCCCACCTCTCTTTATCTCTGCAGATTGTCATGACAAAATAGCAAATATGTTTTCAAGGGAAGATGGTCCACTAATTAATCCATCACACAAAGCCTTTATCTGTTGGACAGCGTCTCCTCAGTAAGGTCTTCATGTTGAAAACACTGATCACCAAATGCCATGCCCAAAACTTCTTTCAGACTGATGCTGTGATTTAAGTTGAACCAGTCATCAAAGCCTCAGCCTCTTTGGCTGCCTGTCATTACCCATATTTTGTTTTGTATGGAATAGAACTAGAAGCATCTCTTAAATCACCAAATCCAAAAAGAGATGCACAGACAGACACACAATAGAAACTGAAACATGGCTTTAATTGCTTCTTGTGTAATCCTATGATGTAGCAGTTAAGTGCATGAAGCTTCAGTTGCAGACTGGTGTAGGCTAATGGGCAACTAGAGATTAAGTCCATTCAAATCTTTCTTTGTTCTTAGCCATTACCCTGACGCTTAACCAGTTGTCAAAAAAGGGCCCACAGTTTGTATTTGAAACACTCAACCCTGTTCTTTACCTGTGGGAAAAATGCAGAGCGGTAAAATGAAGATTCCTACATGTCAGTGTGCATCACCTACTTTAGCTTTTGTGAGATAAAATATGTCCCTTGCCTCCTTTTCAGCAACATTTTTTCTGGCCAACATTTCCACACTTCAGATTTGTCGCTGTTGTGAAATCTCTGAACTTTCATATTTTGCTAATTTCTTAGATAATATGAAGTGGTAATTTGGGCTAATGGTAAAACAACATATTCACTTTTCTTGGAACCATATGGGCTCTCTGACTAAGATGATCTCCTTGATCTGTCAGTAAGCAGTCCAGATTCTGTTGCTCTGGTTCTTATTCTGCCGTATGTTAGCGTTGATGTCCTGGGTTTTGGAGTAACAGTATTTTTGCAGTGTCAATACACAGTTTAACTTTTTTTTCAATTGAGCCGAGTTACTTATCAAGCTGTCACAGAAAAATGGATGTTGAACCTGCTCTGCTGCACAATGAAGATACCGTAAAATCCAGTGTATAAGACGCACTTTTAATACCTATTTTTTTGTCTTAAAAGTTGGCTGCGTCTTATACACCGGTGCGACCATTATACCAGTATAAAATACTGAAATACGCGCTGTCATTACAGCAGGGCAGCAGCCCCTACCACTGCAACCTGATTAAAAACCCATCCCCATTCATTGTGTATTGAAAGCTGAGTGCACGCTGTGCTGGGATAGACGGCGACACAGACCAGTAAATAAACATTGTGGAGTTCTCTTTTGATTGAAAGAGTCCTATATTAAAGTTAAAGAGTGACCAGCGGAGTCAGGCAGCACGACTCGCAGGCTAGGAGTCTGTGCCTCACAGCTTTCCCTGCAGGCTGAGAGCTCAACTACCGTACTGTAGCTAGTAGGAGTACAAACTCCCAAACGTGAAAAAAGACGAGACTTTAAGAGCGACACAGCTGCACAGAAACTGCACGTTGTAGACATCGCTGAACACAATATAAATTGTCATGCAGGAAAACAGTTAAAAAATTTTTCTCTCTAAGAGACCTTTAAAACAAGGTGCGTCTTGTATTCCGGATTTTACAGTAACTGCTTATCTCAAATATTAGCAGAGCGCACAGGTTTCAATAACTTGAGAAATCAGTGGGGCAAAGCCTGGCTTTCCACAGACATATGGAGTAGTCAGCTAGTAGGGAAAAGTAGCCAGCGAGGGGGGTCTGGGGCATGCCACCCGAGGAAAAAATGTGTCTATAAAAGCCAAATTTGGTGGCTTCTGGCACACTTCAATGTCTCTCTTCTATCACATAAATATTGATTTATAGTGTTCTGTAATTTTATGAGGTTGCTTACCCAATTCTTAACAGTTAGGGAATTACTGCAGATAATTAGTCCTCTTTGTCAAATAAAGGTGGACTGGTTTAAAGAAAAATTTGGTGGGCATCGTTGGCTGTGGGTAGCTGAGCAGTGTCACAACAGTACAGGGATCAAATAATGACGTGCAGGTAAGAGGAGGGAGTTTAGGGGGTGCTTTACATTATTAAATAATTATTTAAAAAAAAAAAAAAACAATACTTCGTGATAAGAAGATGACTTCAATGTTTGTATTGTATACCATTTTTTTATTTATTTTGAAATTATTTTTTTACGTGTATGCACCCTGTGATGCTTCTCGAGGTATGTTGGAGCTTTTTTTTTGTCAAACTAAAATGACTTTAGTAAGAACTTTAATTTGACAGAAACCAATCATGCCAGGGTGCTGAATATTCATTTAATATAATATGCTATCAAGGCACATTGCTCTCCACCAGGTCAAGAGTGAAAGAGCGCAGATATAGAAAAATAAGGAAAGACAAGAGAAGTTTTATTTTTACAGTGCAGGCGTCATGTTACTGCCCCCGGTGTTTTTATGAAGCAGCTTATGACCATCGTTGTGTCGTAAAATGCAATTCTTCGTCTTCTCAATTATTTCGCTCATGTTTATTAAACACGGACATTTCTCCTCTCAGCTGAGCTACCCCACACTCACAGAGAGGGGCGGGGCTGACACAGACAGACATCTCTCTCATGACTCTAATGATTTTAGCGTAGGGGAGTGCTTCTTTATTGTGCAGGGAAAGCAAGCAGCAACTTGTGTGTCAAATTTTTTTTATCAGAATCAACTGTGGAAAAGAGTAGCCAGCTGCCCTGGCTAGCTAGTATGAAAGTTTATAGCCAGAGGATATTTATGTTGTGTGTGTGTGTGTGTGTGTGTATATGATCCCTGAAGACTCTAAAATAGATTAAATTGACGTTTCATCTGGAATGCCTCTTGTCTCTGCATCAATGCTCCTATAAAACATTTTTTTATTGAGAAAAACCTTTACTCAAATGTAACCGTTCTTGCTTAACTGAAAATCCAGGTTTGGTCTGTAAGAATGCCATTTATCTATTTTTAACCATATCCTTCTCTTTTCTATTTTGATGTGCTTATTTCTTCCCACACTTACGAAATTGTACAGTAACTAGGCACTTGTCTTAGTGCATGAAGAAACATCAATATTTTTTCTTCTTCCCAGTGTCTGAAATATTCTTAGAAAGTTAGAAGCATGAACTTGAAGCAGACAGTGGGCTCCCTCTGTTTAGTGCTGTGCCTCCTTTGGTCCGTCACACAGGCACACCAGCTTCCTGGTGTAGCGCTGCGGCTCTTCAGGGGGCTCAACTGGATGGCAGCTACTGTTAATAAAGCTACGCTACACTAGCTGATGGAGACTGGCTAGCTATGACAGCTGGTGTTTGAGTCTTCATGGTGCAGATACCCATTTCCAAATCACTACGCCTCGCCTCCATTGAAGCACATAAACAATGTGCATCACTGTCACTGTAGGAAGCGGCGGAGTTTCTAAACACCTGACAAAATGTGACAAGAGACAAAAGAAAAGATGGAGGCTGTCATTTGAGGCGAAGCAGCAGTATTATTGACACTAGTAGAAGTGAGTTATGAATGACTGTCAGATCAGTGAAGAAGGAGAGGGTTATGATCATGATCAGCTCTAGTGCGTGTTTTATTAACCTGCAGATGATTGAGCCACTCCACTGAAACACTTCTTTTGTTTTGAAGCATAATGGGAATTAGTACAAAGATTTGTTTATTTAAAAAAAAAAAAGTAGTATAATCAAAATGTAGATACACTTTGTTACAAACAGAATCCTAATCACAGCCCACAAATAACTTTAACCTTAAAGGTTGAGTCAGTAGGATTGTTTGTTGGAGCTTGTAAACACAACATTCAAACTTGGCCCCTTCTCCTGGGCTCAACCCTCCTGTAGCAAACACCCACTGCGGGTCTTTAGCGTGTATGTTTACTGCCTGTAGCTACACCGCAAGCTAGCTGAGAATATTACGTTTGTTGTGGAAAAGCAGATTAATTGACAAGCTAGCACAAGCTAACCGCCGGTGTTTGTCACCTGACTTGTCCCACAGAAAGTTGGCCAACTCTGCGTCCGCAGGTAAAGCCAACCCAAGTTTCACTATCATTTTTGAAACTAGCTTTAGCTGCATGGCATTTTGCCTCAATGTGATTATATTTTTTTTCTTCTTTGTCATTAACAATATTCGGTGATTTGAATTGTGTCTTATCGCTTTATTATATCCACTTCAACACTTATATTGAATAACTGTTTTCTTGATTATTCTCTCTTCCTTTAAGTGATGTTGGTGTTTTTCTTTCCCTTGTGCTCTTGAATTGTTGCAGTCATCCACTATTATCTGTATTTTATCTCTTAGAATGGAAAAGAAGAAGCTATTTGATCGGTCCACAATCATAACAACAAACCGCTTCTATCTATTGATCTGTGAAATAAAACCTATCTCTGTGGAAATGGAAGGTTTTATTTATTCACTGAAACAGTTAGAAGTCTCATTTCATAACATTGTGATTTGTTTTTAAACTGGCTGGTCCAAGTTTTAGATCATTCTTTGACAGGCGAGATTATGATGAGGTAGCATTTGAGTCAGGACTCCAGGGTGTTGTGTAAAGGATTATTGATACAGATAATGTCTGGGACTAGTTGTCCTTGAAGCCTCATTCTGAAGTAAATGCTTCAAATAGCATGCCGTCACATTCTCGTTTCAATCATGGATTTGACGATGGAGTCTTTTCTCTTCTAATCCTGATACAGAACATATGGCTTTAACAGATTGGGGTCAAATTCAGTGTCACTAACTCATCTGAGTGAAAGCTCTGTGCTTTCTATCGACAGTTTGAACTGCAGTGTAGTGCCCATGTTGAGTTCGGATAAATAATTTAGATTTTAAAAGATGAAATCATGTTGTGTGGACTCGCATGTTGCTGCTTTTAGTTTGGATCAGCTGTTAAAGACTGTCCATGTGCCAAATGCATTCATTTTTTTTTCTCTGGGCTTTTTCTCTCGTCTCATTTAGAACATTTCTTGACAATGAAATCTGGTGCAGCATGTAATCACAGGCATAGAACCCAAGCCTTTTGTCCATTATGAAATGATTCATTGTTAAATTACTGTAACACTTACTGCGTCAGATATTGGGTCATACTAAATGGTGTAGTACAGAAACCAGTGACCTGCAATACTCATGTCGGGCTGTGATTTACTTAGCACAAGTTGACTACTCTTTATGAAGCTGCCAGTCTTAAACCAAACTTAATCTATAAACCAACAACAGTCCCATGTTTAACTTTCCACACTCGTAGCTGACTTATTTCTTAGTGTCCATGTCCATTTTCAGTAGTATCTTTAAACTTAGTGAAAGCTTTTAGTCAGCTAGTGAACTAAAGTTTGTGGGCGCTATTTCCCTCATTTTGGTGTGGGCTGCACGCGCAAACAGAGACACATTTTTTTTCAACCTGATTTTACTGCCAGCTACTTAGTACAACATCCTTGTGAAGGTCAGGCGTGAGGTGATGAGTGAATTTTTAAGGAATATTCACCGCAAGGGAGTGGGCGCGTTGATGACATTTATGTCACGTGACTGGTGAGCCGACCAGTGTGATCTCCGTTTGGCTGCTCCTTAGCTCGTCCTTTGATACTTTGAATACTCTACGTCTTATTTGGCATTATGCACAGCATTGCTTTAAAGGCGAAAGTCCTGCAGTGCGAGTTTCGTCCATTTCTGGGTTTGTTCCTGTTTCTATTATCGGATCGGTTTGGAAAACCTTATGAGTAACAAGGTATTGCTCTCTGTACAGTGACACGGCTTGTAATTAATGTTGTAATTGCAAAATGATTTAAATGATCATCAACTTTTAGAAGTCATCCATAGTTGTATGCTGTCTTTCTTTTTGAGATACATGCTAATATATGACTGGTGTTACAGTCTGTGTTTGACATGTTCCAAAGTCTGTCCTGTGTTGACAGGAAGTTTGAACAGGTTGTTATTTTACAGAAGTTATGCTTGTTTGCTGACAGTTAACAATGTCACCTAAACGAAGTGTATGCAAGCATTACACTTTCCTCTTTCCTAGAATACATGTTGTAAAACATTCACTGACCTAACCCCCTTTCCTTTTTTTTTTCCTTTTTTTTTTTTTCATTTTAAGGTTGGCGACATCGTCAAGGTGACACGGATGAACATCAGCGGTCAGTGGGAAGGAGAGGTGAACGGACGGAGGGGCCTCTTCCCATTCACCCACGTCAAAATCATAGACCCCCTGAATCCGGATGAGAGTGACTGACCTTAGAGTCCGGCTGGACCCTCTAGCCAGTATCGACCTTTACCTGATTGTGCTGGCTGTCTCTACCTTTCCCCGCCAGTGTCACCACGGTTACATGCTTGCCTGCTTGTTGCGGTACAATGATAGCGACCCCTCCGTTGCTGCCGACCGTCGCAAGGCTTTCTGACTGTTTACAGCTTTGGAAATTGTATCCAAACTAAAACCTGACCCCACTTCTCCCAGCTCCTGTCCCTAGTGTTTTGGTTCCAGGCTGGGTTCCAGTGTTTTCTCATTTTAGTGTCCTTTTCATTTCCAGATCACTGGGCATCAGTGTGAGTGTGTCTGTGTCTGTGTGTGTGTGTGCGCATCAGTGTGTGTGTGATCACGGTAGATATTCTCCATCACCTTTTTTTTTCTCTGACTCTCTGAATATTTGTTACGTTTGAAGTCTTCAGGACTGTGGAGCGAGTTGGTGTGTGTTTTGTTGATGTGAGGATATTTGTACAAAGTAGGGAAACGCAATATCCCTATGGACATGAGAGAGCACTGAGGCAACGAAGAACTAACCAGCCAGTCAAATGTTATTTCTCCAAACAATCAAGTCACTGTTGTACCTTAACTAACACACAAGCGCACGCATGGACAAACCCACTTCTCTGCCGTGAGTCATTCAGGCTGACAGGTTCTTGACGTGTATGTGATGTGTGTGACTAGAGGCGGGAAGAAGCAGGAGTCATGATTTGCTCTTCAACCTGGGACAAGTCCAGCTGACAAGAGTTGTTTATCTTTAGTTTGTAGGACATGACAAGGCCATATGTGAGTTCATCTTTTTCTTATTTGTGCCACAAGATCAACAACAGTTCTCTTAATTTTATTTTATTTTGTTATTTTTTTTGTGACATGGAGATGTACGGTAAAAGGGTCCGTTTGCATGTCCACTTGTTGGTACCTCTCTTCACTGTCTGCCACCTTAGTTGCAACTAAAATGACATTGCTTAGAGATTAGCAGGTTTTCGTAGTGCCAACAGCACCAAGCACTCAAAGATGAATTTCAACTTGCTGTATAGGAGTGCAAAGCTTTAAACAGGTTTAAAGAAGAAAAAAAGTCCAATAGCAACAGCAGCAGCCACGGCCAGCACTTCCCACAAGCATCTGACTACAAGGCTAGCTACAAATGCAGTTTGGGCATGACTACCGAAGGCTTTCCACTGAGGTGATAAACTCTGCATTTAAAGGCATATGTCAGGAAAGGAGAAATGTTTCGCTTAAGCCAATGAGATCCCGTCAATGCCTTTTTTTTCCCCAGAGAGTAACACGAACACATCCCTGAGCGCCCCTTGTCATACCCTCTCAAATGTAATGTTGTTAATGTCAAGTTACCCATGTCGAGTAAGGCTTTCAGACAGCTTTACTCCTGAAATATTTGGTCTGTGCACAATATTCAGTCTCTTTTTTTTATGCAAACAGACCGTATCTGAATGATTGGAAGCATCTTTGTTCATACAGTGCTGCAAATGAACGTATTTAATGAGTAGCAGCCCAGGATTGAACATTTATGCAAACAGTGCCGACCCCTTGATTTCTGCTGTAATCTTAACTGTTCCCTCCCATCTTTCTCTCTTACAGCGGTCACTCAGAGTTGTATTGTGCAGCTTTTAATTGTATCCTTTTTTTTTTTTTTGTAATAGATTTAGTCCGCTTTTTAAGTCAAGCATTTCTGTTAACAATGAGCGATGTTACACAAAAAAAAGTACCAATGGTGACATTTACAAAGGGAAAAAAATAAAATGCCTGCTGGTTGCCTCTGTTTATGACCTCTCGGCTCGAGAGATGGTTTCTCTCGGCCAAATGCTGCTTAATGTCATTTGTTTCCTTAATGAATAAAGGTTACTTTCATTTGAATCCCACCTGGTCTGTGTAGACCAGTGTTGGGTTTTTTTCCTCATCAAATGTAATGAAATCTACTAATTAAGCAATACACCCTGATTCTTTCTTTTCTTGAGGTGAACTTGCTTTTCTCATGCTTCTAAATTGTTTTTGTAATGGCATTAACAGTATTACTGTGCTCTCTTCTCATACTCTAGGAAAGGCTGTCTTTTACTTAAGAATTGAAAATTGTGCCTTTTATTTTCTTATACCATATACATGTGTTAATATTTCCCATGGTTAACACCTGTGCTGGTATTGACCCTTTATGTACAGAACAAGTAAATAAAATTTACGTCTACTTCTTTAAGCTGCTCCGCCCGGTGTCTCTGTCCTCTGTGTGCGTGTTGTGTTTTTAGCACAGATGGGGGGGTGTGGTGGGGTGGGGGTGTGTGGAGGACATGTTTGCAGCAGCCTGGCGTCACACGTTGTGTATCTAGAGCACAGGACAGTTGCTCCTGCTCTCATTTTTGACAGCTCCAGTTTTGATTCTGGCTGCGCCCAGGAGAAAGGAAGCAATTAATGAATTTTAATGAAGCGCTAATAAAAGAAAGTCAGCTGACCTACAGATGGGGAACGGGAAAGTTTTTCAAGGGCAGTCTCTCAGATTGGCATGTTCACTTGTTTGTTTAGTACCTTTCAAACCAGGTACAAAAAAAACATGACTTGAGTAATAAACCAACAGACACATTCATGCTAGTGGTTCTTAAAGTTGATATTTGGAAGCAGGGCATGGTTTTAGCATAAAATATGAGGATTCTACGCATTCACATGAACCCTCTTGGGCTTTGTTGAAGCATACTGTATATGGATATGTTGGGTTATGCAACTGACATACACATGCTAGTAGCTAACTAATGACTGTAGAATGATGCCTTTCAATGTAGCATCTTTTTATACTCTTAACATTGCAACGTCTCCCTCATCGCTGATATAGCAACCTGGCTAATCCATCCAGACTGTATCATAGTAAGACTGAATGATCTACGGCTTAAACTACAAATGCTCCTAACATCAAATAAAAAGACATCTTGTTCTACATTGTAAAATGAAAACACAAAATAACTTTATGACTTTGTGAATGTTGTAACATCATTTATTTTTCCCTTCCTGTACCCTCAAGAACATAACCAAATGCAACAAACAAACAAAAAAGAAAATAACCCTAGGAGCATTTTTCAGACTGTCAATAGAAGTGTTAGGTCCGTTATCCTGTAAGTAAAATTTTTATCACAACTTTGAAACTGTAACATGATGAACAAACTGCATTGAGTTTCCCTTTCACTGGATTCTGACTGTGTGTGTGTGTGTGTGTGTGTTTTCCTGGTTAAACTGCCATTAAAGCCAGTCAATGTGTTCCTCTGGGCTGTGATAGGCTGTGGCTGCAGTGAGAATGACCCTAATGAATCAAACTTGGCTGAGTCTGACCTCTCCCCAGGGCAGTATGTGTGTGTGTGTTAAAATGGATGTGTTGGGTGGTCGATGAAGGCCCTCCTACAGTCCATTACCACTGCCGCCCTCAAACTATCTTTGATGGCAGCTGCAACGATGTAGAGTCTCTTGTCCAAAGGTGGCAGAGGTGAATGTAGTGAACATCTAAGGCTTTGACAATAAATTATTCACGCTACAAAATAGGAATACAATTTAGTTTAGTCGAGGATTAAAAAGAAAACAAGTAGTGAGGACTTTTTTTTAACTTTTTTTTTTAACTTTAATAAATACATAGACTTGATTCAAATACTGATTAACAAAGTGAAAACCATTCCTCTTGATACATTTTGTAGTTCATCTGAACCCTCCATTTCTCTTTTCTCTGCACCTTCTGAGCTTTCAGTAACTCAGAACCTTCAATGTTCTCATGTGGAGAAAGATTGACATTATTAATGTTCATCAATAATGTGTGTTATTACTGTGAATCAATAATTGTGCCAGTGAGCAATAAGTTCACATGAAGAGATGAGTCTACATCAGTGCATGCTGCCTTTTTAAGATTTACAACCTTTTGGACTTTGATCCTGTGTACATTTGTTTTAAGACCATGCGTATTGTATACTCTACATCATTTCTTTTATCAAGTAGTATTGATGAGCAACATGTTATCCAGTGCTTCATCTGCGTTGAAATCGGCAGAGCCACACTTGGAATCACTTTTATGTCGTCCCTCATCTTACTGCACGATCCACCAGTTAGGCATCTAAATGCTGTAGTGTCATTAATGCCTTCATACATTCACAAATATTCACTTCTTAGAAGCAAATGATCCCAACTATTGAATCCCCCAAACGGTCAAGAAGGCAACAACTTCAAAATGTGTTTCACATTTCTACTATCAGAATGTGTTTTTATTCAGGGCTTTCCATATTCCTAAGGTTAACCAACAGGGCTTGGAAACCAGTCAACCCCAGGTATGCCGTGCAGTAACAGGCATTCAGGGCGCTGAATGGAAAGGGTACCATCAAAACGATTTTGAAGCTGTTATTTTTCGAGGCAAAATAATATTCTTTACATAACCTCTGCCTTGATACCGTTCAAGTAAAAGACAGAAAAAGACCGCTTGTCGAAGCCATAACTAACTTCTCGATGCCCTACAGTGTTGGACTTATACATCCAGCGCACTAATTGACCCCATCTGTGGCCCATAATTCATTTTACAGCGAGGAGAGAGGAATCCAGGATGAGCTGTGTGGGTGAACCAGATGACCTGGTCTACCTCAGGAAACGACCATACTGTGATAATAAAGTCACACTTTGAAATGTACATTCAGCAAACATGTCTTATTATACTGAAGTGTTCCTTGGAAGCACAGTGAATAGAGCGCCATTTGCTCCAGGTTTCATAACGTCTCATGACTTTGCCTCTGAGTTGTTTATGTATAATTTACAGTGATATTTAGAAAATGTATTACACCAAAAACACGCCATTTGATGTGCTCTAGAAAATTCCTATGCTGTATGCACTCCCTGAAGCTTTATAAATGTCCCAGATATGGCTTCCCTCTCTCTCGTAAAACATTTACAGCACAGACGTTTCTGCCTTCTGCTGGGGAAACTATGCCAGACTGTGATGGTAATTCCACACTTGCTGTCTGTCACGGCTTTATCAGGTCAGACTCTGCTCGGGGACAGTCTCTCAAAGCTCCGTCGTTCTTGTTCTTTCTTGTCCTTAGATCTGTGCAACGCTCAGATGGTTCTAATACAGCTGATGAAAACAGCTTGTTGTTATCTAATAGATGTACTCGCAGGACATTGAAGTATGGCTTCAGATTACTGGAGCAGCAAGGTCAAAAGGATGGAGCTTTATGTTAGCTCTGTGTAGTCACACTAGTGGCACAACTCTGAAATAGAAGTTCATTCATCACGTATTTCCTCTCAAATTAACCAGCAATCATTTGATGGATTGCATTATTTGACATTTAAATCAACTATCCTGTTGGATGTCTTAATGCTAACTGTACTTTAGTGCAATGCTAATGCTAGTACACATGCTTAGCTAAGACAGTGAAAGAGGTGCACATTAGCCTATATCTGATTAACATTGGCAGTTAGCAATCGTCGTTGAGAGCATGTTAGGATGATAATTTGGTACCATCTCTTAAAAATCTACTTGTCTGCTTGTACAGCTACACGGAGGTGAAAATGGCTTTGCAAATGTCGTTAAAGTCAGATCATGTCCCGGTATGGAAATCTGCTCTGGTTGCAGTTCCTTTAATGAGTACTGCTGGGCGCCCTTGAGCAAGGCACATAAACACCTAATTGCTCTGGTCTCCCCGTTGTTGCATTTCCAAAGTTTCCAGTTTGTGGATGTGTGTGTTGTAGGCCTGGGTGTGTGAGTAGCATATCTCTGACTTTCTAAATAACAAATGAAATATAATGAATGTAGTGGCTTGTAGCTCAATTAATCAGCAGAGCTTTTGCAATATTCATTACATCAGCTTGGACTTTCTATTTTTTTTAATCAAAATATGCATATGCAGGTACAACTTTTAACAAATTGTGACTCCTCTGATGCTCTTATATATACAGTGTATATGTCAGACAGGACGGTGTTGAATTGAAGTAGCTACATTCTTTTCATTTGGATATCTGTATAAGTTTTAAGCAATTTAATTTGTCTGTTGTTTATGAAGACTCAATCAATATAAGAAACCCGTTGATACACCAACATGATATTGCACGTCTTATTAAAGGTATGATCCAGTATATAGGTATCCTTTACTCACACCTGCAGATTTAATATCACATTTATTTCCCAGTTGACTGGATATATATCACAGTGTTTGCAGTATACTCTGTTTTCAAACACAATCATCTTTAACACACACACCTGTGCAGAGTTGAGCTGTGTGTATTCAGGGATAGACAAGGACAGGACATATTCACTTTTTTTTGTCCTGTGATACAGACAAAAGTGACCCCTCCGCATACACTTTTTAAGCTTTAAGAAGCATACTTTGTACACAATTATACACGTTACACACAAACGACTGGAGTTCCTGTGTGAGTCCCTTTTCTGGTCCGTTTTGTTCCCTCCAAAGCTGGTGTGGATCCACATCGGTGTGGAGCTGATTCTGAATCAATGACATCAACATTGCAGTGGGCCAAAGCTCACCAGCAGGAGTAGGAGAAGAGTGGGTACTGGCTCCAGTCTGCTGCATGGTTGTGGTGGTGATGAGGGTTGTAGTAGCCGTGTTGTTGGACGTTGTGTTCAGCTACGGTAAGTGGATGAGTTGGAGGGTGGGAGGGGTTGTGTGGTCCATCGATGTCATTGGGAGGCAGTGGATATCTGATGTACTCAAATGATCTGGGGGGGGAAAGAAAGTCATGTAATGGTTAATTTATGTATGCATTATCATACCATGATGATCTGTTCGCAGTCATGGCCTCTCAAAGGTTATAAATGTTTAATGCATGACGGAATAAAAACCCATCCCTGCTTTCTGTTGTCACATTTTTTTCCACCATTATTGCTTCATTTTTTTGGTTGATGAAATGTTTTATTTGTGATCTATTTTTCAACCAAGACTCATTCTATCTAACTCATCCAGGATGCCTTGTATCATACCTGTAGGGCTGGTAAGGCACAGAGGCAGGAACCATCTGTTCTTCACAGCCGTAGTCGTTCTCATGAAGCTCCAGGGGCTCAGCATGGAGACTCTCAGAAGGGTCCTGCTCCAAAGCCCAGCGTGGAAGGTCACCCCCCTTCACTGACTGCTGTGTGGGCACCTGGTTCTTCTCTGCCAGCACTGACTGAGAGGTGGAGGGCATCCTCTGCAGGCCTGACAGGGAAATACAATGTTGAATGGTGTGCAGTGTAAAGAGACTGAACTGTTGATTTGAAGGGATACTTAGTCATGTTACAAACAGTTTTCTCCGTGGAGGCAAAAAGATTGTGAAGATATATATAACTTAACGTACTTGGAGGACTGTTGGAAAGAGCTTTTCTCTCTACTGTGGCTCTTTTTGCAGGAGGGCTTCCACTTGAACGACACCTATAATAAAAACACACAACGGTGGTTAGCTTGTGCTAGCGTGCGATAGCTTGCAGTGTAGGTACAGGCAGTTAACGTACACACTCAGAGGCGCTGCTTTTCAACAGGCAAGGCAGGCGACTGCTTGGGGCCCCAGGCCAGTAATTATAATCTGAAGAATGTCCCATTGTCAAGTTTTAATGTAACACTTCCAGTAGTTTTTTTCCAGTTGCTGATCAATCTGGTGGGGTAAAAATAAAACTGTTTCCTTACATTTCTACCCTAAATACCCTGAAAAGGCCAGTACAACTCAAAAACAGCTTCCCATCCCTGGCTGTGATGTCAGATTAAAATGGCCGATGGGTGAATATGCTCAATCAAGTTTTCAATTTACACTGTTATTAACATTTATATCACCAACTGAGGTAACAGGCCTAGCATTGACAAAGTTTGAGCAACATATGAAATGACATATATCTGCTTTGAAACACAATTTAACTTTAGAAGATACAAGATTCAAAGTTTTAACAAATATAAACAGTATATAATTAACCACTACTTTGTAATCGTAAATTGCACCACTTGCATGCCAAAACTCTACAAAGTGTCTAATCTGTGATTCTTACCTTTTACTGTGGGAGTGCGTGCCTCCCTCCCTAAATCCTTTAGCGAATGGGTTGTTGTCAATCTTCAATTTTGTGATCTTAAAAAGGACAATAAGGGAGAAAAAATATTGAATCATTGGATGAAGATCAAACATATGTGTTGGGTTAATACTTTGATTATTTTCCTTCTTTTCAATTTTTCTTTTACCTTTTGGTTTTGGTAAGCGGTGACTGCAGTGAAGGTGGTCTCTGGGAAGGAGAAGGTCTGAAATGGGCCCCAGCGGACGGTGTAAGGACTGTCTGTCTGGGCGATGTGAAACCTTGGGTAGTAGCGATGCATAGAGTGCAGGATGATCTGATGTGTAAAACGAAAGCATGAGTGAGCAAAACACACATCCAGTAAAGGTTAAAATGACAAAATATTTGAATTTAACAGGTATGATGGTTTCTTACATGGCCGTATTGGTCTAAAGTGTTGTTAGTGAGCTTCAGCTTGAGAAAGGACAACGACTGCTTCATCCAGTGGCTTCCTGGGGCTGGGGAGTCTGGGTGCATGTATGTCCGACATGGGGGCTGGGGCTCAGCCTTTCCTGCAATCTCCCACTGCTCCTTCTTCCACTGCAGAGACATTTCAGATGATGGTTACCAAAAGGGGGACCGCTAGACAATGATTAACAAAAATCTTCATTTTCCCTCCCAATAAGGTCTGATGTCATGCAAGACAGCTGTGGTGCACATAACTTCCATATCATTCTGGTCAATTAACAATGTATTTATTGATTTTTTTGTAGGAATATAATTTAAAAATGTTCCTTAAAATCCCCTCACCAAAAAAGTCAAAGTCTCCCACAGTACTTTCCTTTTTCTTGTGTACTTTTTTTAAGTGTGTGCTGCGAGTGATATCTGTGACCAAATGGTCCCCAGCAGTTAATGTGAGAGCCGTTGAGTGTGTGGATGGCCAACTGCTCTTATTCAGCCTCAGTGAATGAGGAGGGATGCTAATTGATTGGGCCTCCAGCCGAGAGCGCACAAACAGGAAGCAATGAAAGGCTTTGAAATGCAGCAGTGAATGGCCCAGAGTGGGCAGGCCCATGTCTGGCTGCAGACTGCTTCGTTTTAACATACTGTACTCTGTTGGGTTCTGTATGCAGAATGCAAATCTAAATGTGGAAGTCCAGACATTGAAAATGTTTGTTTTTTAAATGTTTCTGTTCTGCTTAAACCAGGGAAGCGCAGTGGTGCACAAAATGGTGCTCAGTTTTAGTTGTAAACAAATTTACCTTGTATTTGAAGCTCTCTACAGGAACCATGTCCACCATGATGACGTAATTTGCGAAAGGTTGGAGTCCAGAGACACTGATGCTGCAGTGTGGAAACATTCTCCTGAAACACATAAAGAAATCCAGAATCAGGTTTTTGGCTCAGAAGGGTTTCACATGTCAGTGGAATCAAATGCTTTCATCCTAAAACTAATTTCCATGACTCCATGAAGACAAAGTATATGCTCCGCAAACTACAAATCCCTTGAAGGTTTAAAAAAAAAAAAAAGCCATACTGGTTACCTGCCGTGCTTTGTTATGATCATCTCTGTTCCGATGTTGTCAAAGGATTTCCACAGATCAGCGTTCTCTAGCCTCATCCTGATGCAGCCCTGCTGGTATGAGTCAGCTGCTGGAGGAGACCGGGGCATGTTCATATTTAATTTGGAGTCTTTGAGAAAAAGAAAAACAACATTAACAATGGAGCAAAATCAAACCGTTTTTTTTGGGTTTTTTTACAAACATATTATTGCACAGTTTATATGCTGCAGGTAACACATCTCTCTTTGAGCAGTTCCATTTTGAATATTTAAATCCTCCAAATTCCTCTTCAAAAAGTAAAATGTGATTGACTCCTGCTGATGAATCAATACATTGGAAGACATGTATTGCAGGAAGAAATCAAAGACCACTTGTGAGTATTCCCTAAAAAGTCCAAAATGAACAAATATTAACAGTATATCTCCCTCTGTTCCAGTTAGGTTTTAGGCGTCACACTGCCCTCACATGCTAATGTGGCATGGTTCAATGTTTAAGGTCAAACTTACCTGATGTGTGTTGCATGTTTCTGTGTCCTCCAGGTTATGTTAAGACCAACACAGAGGGTCTGAGATAAAGTGCTGCTTTCAGGTGTACTAACACTGAAGTCAAACATATCAGGGGGCTCTATCCAGTGACCCCCCTGAGACTTGAACTTGATTGGTCATTGAAGAAAGGGTGGCGTCTTAACAGCCAAAGGGGGTGGAGCCAGATCAGAACAAATGGGGGGGGGGCAGGTAAGGATATAGCCTTTTGAGTGGGTGTTCTTGTAAATGTTAAAGTTTAGTTCCATTTCTATAGTGTGTAGATGTTTGTGACCGTTTGCCCAGTGACACTACAAAAAAAAAACATTTTTATTCTGATGCTTTGAGGTGAAAATATTTTCTCATATATGAAGACCTAATTACATCCTGCGGTGGAACGTTTGGCATTTTTGATCACAGAAAGAGAAACTGGCACCTCGCAAGAAAAAGCCCCGGACTGGTTTAAGAGATGTGAAAGTTCTCATTTAAATCTTGGGGAAAAAAAAAAAAAAAAAAGCCAGTGTGGTGTTTATTCATTTTTTTATTTCCCTTTTTGCTCTACATGAGTCAAACGAGAACAGAGTTTAGGGAACTCAAATACAATCACTATACATGCTTCCTTGACTCTAGAAAACACCCAGAAAGCCTTTCATCTACTTCAAACCTAAATGTGACAAATCATTCTAGCGCTCATGTATGCCTGTGTAATTCAGAATGTATTATATGTAAGGCCTGAAATGTATCAAGAGTTTTTTGACTTTCCCTCCTTCTTTCCAAGTTGAAGGACAGTGATCCACATTTGAAGGGACCCTGGGGTGGGGGGGGGGATGGAAGAGCAGACAAACAGGCCCCTTCCTGGCAGCCCAGTTTGTGTATTGGGAACAACTCTGCAGATTACAGAGGTGATCGTAGTGTGGGTGTAGCATTGACAATGGCTGACAATGTTCCTAATCCTACGAGGCCATTTGGCCAAGGGACCTCCCCCTCTCTCCGGGCCCTTCATGTTACCTGCAGGACCCTCAGAGGACAGTGAGTGGGCCCTCTGAAGGAGCCAGCAGCAGTTAGCAGCCCGTTCACATGAAAGAGATACGATAGGGAGGGAAGGGCTGCTGTCGGGACAATGTTCAAAGTTTACAGCACAATGAATTGAATCCTACTTAAATTTCAACAAACTGAGCAAACCCATGGAGTTTAATGTAAAATTCTAGCAGAGATCAAAAAGCTTCCAAACACACCAACTGTGACAGGGGAAATGTGACAAACATGATGCTAAACACACCTGAATATTTCTGTTTTATTGAATGGTGCAGGAATAACAAACGTGGAATCTGAATCTTTAAACAAAAAGACTTAAAATCATATTGCACCATTTATGGTATGTGCTATTATAAGTCAGAGTGGTAGGCTTGCAACTTTAAAGTCTGATGTAGCCCCCACAGCCATCGCCGTCCTCATTCACGCGCGGCCTGTTCCGACCTCCACCTCAGCGGCAAGGAAGTGTGGACAACAGGAGGAAGGAGAAATCCATTCTGCATCTTATCCGACCTCCCCCTATCCCATTTTCTTAACAATGAGTAAGGTCTTTTTACCTGCTCTTTTGTAAAGCTAACACTTGTTGTGAATCGCACTAAACAATTAATGATTGATTGATAAGGGAAAAAGAGTGCGGAGTTAAAAATGTGCACATAATTAAGACAAGCAAACGTATCTGCAAAACAGATATTACGCTTCTTTTACTTTCTAAAGCAAAATCAATCATTGTTTATTGTGTAGCTCTCCAAAACACTAAGCTCGTATTATATGACACGTACAGACTCCCTGAAGTGTTACGGGAAAAAGAGTTGAGAAAGATGTCCAAATTTAGAAACGAAACCAAAACAAGACGAAACAAGAGCATTTTCACTTTTTGTTTGTTGTTTGAACAATCCAAATGTGTTCATCCCAGATCGGACATAAATATTAGTTTGACTTTAATGCTACATCAACCATGAGGACCACAGGGAGCTTAGATTTTGGAAAAGTTCCAAACCAACTTATGCTTGTCTTTGCCTTATAAGTTGTTCTGCACTGCTTTCAAGTAAACTTATTTTTTATTTAAACCCTGCAGCAATCACAATGAGCAGAACTCGCTAAGAAATGACTGGGCTATAATCCACTTCCGATTCTGTTATTAGTTTTTATTTCGTTTGCTGACTTCTTACAAACTTAATGAAGGTCCTCTTTAAACACTTTTGTTGAGAAGATTTGAAACCCAAAGGTGCTGTGTCTGTGAGGGTGTTTACTTGGATAGTTGTGTTAGAAGATAATAATTCTGTCCAGTTAAATACACAGCAATATGAACGCACTGTACAGGACGTACACATTATTTACCTGATAATAATGATCCACCTCTGTAGCCATCTTTGAAGAAGCAGCTCACTGCCTCTGTGAGTCAGTCTGTTCACACACTGTAGGCGTGTTGAAACATCTCTGCTCTGCTTAAATCAACTTCAGGCTTGAAGATGGAATTCGGTGTGTTCCTGCCTGCGGCGTGTGTCCCCACTGCAACTATGCTGCAAAGAGAAGTTCACGTAGAAAAATGTGTAACTAACATCTGCTGCTGCTAATGGCGGTTTTAGCATTTAGATTGAGCAGGACTGTTTTATGACCACTGGTCCTACAAAAGGTGAACGCAATAGCTGTGCACATTCCCCACTGTAATACAGCTGAATCATGTCTTGTTTGTGATGCATCAACTCTGCTGCAGTAAAAATATCTCAACACAGGAAATGGTGGTTGCAACCGCTTTTGACAAGTGAGGCAAAGTTGCAGCTGGAGGATGCAGTGTAGGCCCCCATGGTGCCAGTTCTGAGTAATGGCTCTGTGATCTGTTCAAGCCTGGATGAAGTGGGTGACTTATCATTTCTACACTTAATACAACAAGTAGACGTTCTCATATGCAATATATCTGGTTTCCAGGGAGAGAGAGAGAGAGTTGTGTGTTGTGCACCTAGAACTGCAGTGTCAACTAAAGTTAAAAAAACAACAACTGAAAGCTGGTCACAGAGAACTTTAAAACCGAATTTCAAATGAAGTTTTTTCTATTGTGCTTCTATTTCTCAAAGGTTTCAAACATAATGTACAGCATATGTCAGAGCCTGGCATAGGTATAGTAGATATATTGAATTGTTCAGAAATAACAATAAAAGCACTAATTTGCAAATGCTGCCACCTACTGGAACCCCTCTGATAAGAAAAATGTCAGTTCCACTACTACTGTACCGATCATACCCAGGAATTTACTCCTAACCAGTGTGCATAATTAAAAAGTACTTGGAATTAAATATAATAAAGACAAGACAGTATTTATAAATTGAATACTGAGTTCAAAGGGCGGCAGTAGCTCAGTCTGTAGGGACTTAGGTTGGGAATCGGAGGGTTGCCGGTTCCAGGACGGAACAAGTCTGGAAATTGGCCTGGTAGCTGGAGAGGTGCCAGTACTTCCCCTCGCGGGATTAATAAAGAATATTTTTTTATTAAATAATGAAAAGGAAGCCATAGTTTCAAAGTTGTCTTAAAATAACATTTAAATCATAACAAAAAGTATAGTCACATAATATAAATGTTTCAAAACACAGAGATATGTGATATATATAAATAAAATAAACATGAGGGGGCAGATTAAAGTGTAATAGAGCAGCTCTTTTTAAGGACCTTATTTCCCTGCTCTGCTGAGCACGCTGACACATGCAGTTGGGAAAATGAGCTTTCTGCTCCTAATACAATAACACAAAGTGCTCCCTCTGAAGCAGCTTTAACAATGCATAATGTTATTGCAGCGGGGGAAATACGATTAGGAGGTAGGTAATGCAATTTTCCACAAAGAACTCAGTTATTGTAAAGGATAACAATATATAGTTACGTTTATTCAGTTTTTACCTCTTTTATTGTATGAGTATTTTTTTTTTTACTTGAGAGTCATTTCAAAGTCATGTTTAGATAATAAAAGTCTGATTCTGTCTGAGGATATCCCTAGTGATGGTTTCCATTCCTCCCGCTGTTATGCATGATAAAATTACAATATACAATGATATGTAAGACATATTATTATTATATTATAATAAAAGGTCAAATTATGATTATTTTGAATTAAAAAAAATCTGTATGCTGCTGCAAGGGTCTAATCAAGGATTATCTTAAAGGGGGTGAAGGGTAAAATTTTCATGCAAAGAAAGCAATGATTTCCCCCTTTTTAGTGTGAAAAGTGTGACAAAAATTAATGTAAAAATTAATGTAAAAAAAAAAAAGGGGGGAAAGACAGAAATTAATGAAATATTAAACAAAAGAAAATGGAGTATGAAGGAAGGAAACACACCAAGACAAGGAGAAGGGCAAGAGAAGGTGATGAAAGATGAGGAAGAAACCCCTGAGAGAGCGAGAGACCGAGAGAGAGAGAGAGAGATAAGGAGAAAACCCCGTGAGACCAACAGGGGAAGCTAAAAGATAAAAAGGTAGAAGGAAATTGAAAAGACATTTCCTTGTCAGGGGAAAAGCAAAACAGTGAGTTTACATGGGACAGCTTGAAGAGAGACCTGCGAGAAGTGAGGACATAGAGTCTGTATGCAGAGATGTGTTTGTTCTCTTATTGAATTTATTGATCAGAGAACTAATAAAAACTGACAGAGGGTCAAATGGAGACCCTGGTCCAGCTGACTTTATTCTAAAGTGTGTGAAGAGAAGCCTGCAGGAATATTACATGAAGTGATCAGAGGGGAGACCCCTGCAGTACTTCTGCTACCTAATCAGCTTCTATTGGTTTAGGTGAACAGAAACAGGAAATGGCTTTGACCCACTTGAACCGAGGTGATTTTAATGGATTTTAATGGCTTGGTTTAAGTATTTATCCCTAATCAATCAGTGGAGGGGCCTAAGAAGTATTCAGTATCGGAAGAGTAATCGTTTTTGCAATGTAATGTTTTTCTTCTTCTCTACAGTATTTTATCAAATTCTTTGCGTCTTTTTCTTTGATGATTTAGCAAAGTTATCCCTGAAGTTTGAATGCCACTAAAGTCTTGGATTTGAGTGGCATCGAAACAGTACTTTAACAAAATTATGTTCCAAGTTTAAGCACATTTGATTGGTAGGATTATGCACTGACCACTTTCACAAACATCACCATCAAGCTGAGATGATAACTTCTCATCACCAGCAGAGGGCAGCACAACACAAAACAAAAACAGATGTATATAATACCAGATTGTATTATAGTGATTTTTGTGAAAAACAATTAGAACAGGAAACGTTGAAGTTACTTAAAACCTTTTAACCCAAGTTAATAAATGCTTTAATAATACTTTGGTATCACTCACTGACGGCTGCCTTGTGGGATTTTGTGTCTGAAATACACATTTGTGTGTTTAGGCTGAGGGTGGAAACCCACACAAAGAGGCACAACTCATTTCCAGAACATTCCTACTGTGAGAAATGGAAATTGAAATATTTTTTCTTGTATTATTTTTAAATATTTCCTGAAAATCTAGTTCCATGTTAAGAAAGCAGCTCTTAACCACCTGCGACAGATTGTTCACGCCAAACCTCTTCCTCCTCACCATCCTAAGGGCATGTGGTTTTTCTGAATGTTGCTCAGGAGGTGAGTTCTGCAGCTTCAGGGTCCTTAACATCAGACTGATTGATTGGCTCTGGGCGGCGTGCATGCAGGAACTCCGGCAATGATAATAGGTGCAGAGGCCTTAAGGTGTCATTTCCGGTTAAGGTAGAAGATCCATGGCCTGCCAGCAGGGTCTCACACATTTAAATAAATCTACATATCTGTAATCAACATGCATGAACCCACCGATATCCGAGTGAGTCATGCTTACAGAGGGTGTCAGTGTTAGTCACTGACTTTTCTTGTGTGCATTTTTACCTTGATTTGTGAAACCATAAGAGGTTTTACTTTTTACCATACTTCCCGCATCTTCTCCGCCTCCCATGGCTCAGAGTTGTCTCTTGTCAGGTGTTTAGAGGTCTGTGTTGTGTATTCTGCACTCGTGCCAGCTTCAGGGGTCCTGCTCGGAACCACTTTGATGTGTGAGCAAGGACAGGGGAAATGCAAAATGGACAGCCACAACAACAGCTGCTCCTCTCTCCTCTGACCAACACCTCCCTGCTTTAAAGTGGGCTGCACACACACACACACACACACACACACACACACACACACACACACACACTGAAATAATCATATGCATGTGTGTATGTGGGGTTATCCAAGTTAGCAGCAGTACAAAGGGAGTGTGAGAGCGTCTGATAGAGAGTGTGGTTCAGAATTCATATCACTGCAGAGCACTAATCTCCCCTGTCTGAGGAAAGCTCTCTCTTTCTCTCCCACTCTCTCTCCTTTCCCCTCGCTCACACACAAATCAAACTCATGCACAGTTGATTGATTTTTGAGATGCCCTTCTTGTCGCACTATCTTGTCTTAAGGCGTAACAACTGGCATCCGTCTCAACAGGAAACATTTGGTTTCATTCGGTGTCTTCTTCAGACATTTATTTAGAATTTGTGTGTCAAGAGTAAAATTCTGGGGGTGGTGGCGCAGTGGTTAGTCTGCGCGCCCCGTGTATGGAGGCTATGGTCCTCCAAGCGGGCGGCCCAGGTTCAAATATTACCTGTGGCTCCTTTCTCGCACATCATTCCCCACTCTCTCTCTCTCTCCTTTATTCCAGACTCTATCCACTGTCCTGTCTCTCCATTAAAGGCACAAAAAGAAATTCTGTTTATGACAACTCTACTATGATAATCATAATTTAAAGAATCATTAACAGTCGTTATGTTTGTTTGAAACTTTGAAACTGCTGAATGAAAATAAGTTAAACTCAAACACGGAGCCATGATTCATTTAGGTATCAGTTAACGTGAAATATAGAAGAATTACTCAAATTGTGTTGTTGTAAACAATCCTCCATCACAGATTACAACCCGACTTTCAGCTTCAGTTTTGACTTCTTCGACTGGCCAAAGTTATTTTTCTGTTGTTGTTTTTTTCTATGCATTGAGATTAGTTCAACTTTTTGATGATGAACTCATTTAGGATCTAACTTCCAAATAAAGTGGTTTGTCTGATCATCTGTAACCTGTAAGTGGCTCTGATTCTCTGATGGCTGCAGCTGCACAAGTGTTTCCATCACCCACCCGTCACATCATGGTTTTCCCACTATCATCTTTATTTTATTGAGCAGTCAAGGACAAACATACAATTAACACACTTTACCTGATTAATTGTTTTCAGGTTTTGTATTTAATCTCACAATGCTAAAATGTAGTGTTCATATTTTACACTGTCAGATTAAACACTATGTGTTGGTTAGACTAATGGTCATTTCTTTAGGGTTAGGGTTAGGGCAGTGGGACACGACACTTCCTTTTTGCGCAAAAAAGTGTGGCCAAGGTTTGCCAAGGTCTATATGTTCCCCTTTCTGTTAAGTCAAATTTTTATGTTCTCAACTTACTTTTCAACACATAAACAGTGATGATTCTACGACGGAGGATTAGGGCCATGTTGAATTATTATTATTCTTTTTTCATTTTGATTAAACTCGTAAATTTACGAGAATTATCTTGTAAATTAACGAGTTTGAGACCAGCCTGCGCAAAAATGATGAAAGTAGAAAATGATGACAATCTGAGGATGATATACCAAAAGCATGTGTAGTTTCATATTTGCAAAAGTAAAGCCTCAACACAACTAATTGTGTCTGTTATCTGCACTTGTCTGCCTTGTTAAAGTGTCTCATGTGCAGAGACCGTTTGTGTCCTGTTCATTATTTTACAGATAAAAAAGGTCTTGCAAGTTGAAGTGAAAACTTCTCTTGAACTAACTGTTTTTTATCAACTGCACATTTCCTTATTAGTGAAACCTTTACTTAAGCATTACAAGATGCTCCATGTTTGTTATTTGAGAACAGGATGCTGCTGCTCTTCTGATATAGACTAAAATAACAACTTTATTCTTTTATTCTTTAAAGACTTTAAGAATACTTTCATCATTTTCCCGCAGGCTGGTCTCACAACTCGTTAATTAATGATATTATTCTCGTAAATTTAAGACTTTAATCTTGAAATATATAGATTTTTTAAATTTATTTAAGGTGGCCCTAATCCTCCGTCGCACGATTCTATAGGGCCTGAGGTAAACATTAACCAGCGTTCATCACCTTTATGTTATAAATAATAGTTGCTTGGTAGTAAGTGCTGTCTGGTGGAGCTTCTTAGAGAGCTTTTCTACTGTCATTACAAAATGACATTTTGAGCCTTTGCTGTGGTTTGGAGTTTATCAGCCCATCTGCCTTACTGCTTGGTCCCTAACAGAGTTCCTTTTTCCAGATCTGCTGCAAACACAGTCTTTTCTATAGTGCTTCAATAGCAGGTTGAAATTATGTTAAGAAAACGACGAAAATGAGGCCTGCTCTGCCATACACAGACTGTATGAACAGACACTGTGAGTAAACAGTCTCCTACCTCCTCTTTGGATTATATACTAACTGCTAAATTACTTCTTCATCTCTTAGCTGCCGTCTCTGCTGGGATGACATTTCATTTTGTTTCCATCTCTTCATCCGTTTGTCCTTTTCGGTTTCTTGGTGTTTTTTGTTCTCAGCCTGCCCGGTATTAGTTTGTCCCTTTGTTCTGTGTGTATTTATATATAGAAATAGTAGTCTATCACTCTTTGTTTGTTTCTCCTCTCAGTGCATGCTTGCTTCCTGTAAATCATCCTTCTGCAAGTCCTCCTTTGTGCAAGCGGCTCCTCCACCCCTGAATATTTTAGTAACGGATTGATTGATTGGTTCTGCCTGGCCCATCCTGACACTCAAGCAGTGAGAGCGCCATGAAGGAAGCTCTGTTTTAGTGTACTCAGGGGAAAAAAGTGGCAAAAAAATTACAACTTTCTATATCAAATGTTACTAAATCAAATGTATGTAATTGATCCGTCACTGGCATCTCTTTTTTGAAAGTGACCCATCTCTGCTGCCTTCGCTCGTGGGTGCAGGTGTCCTCCTGGCTGCTGTGGAGTCACGCCAGTTAATTAATACCACCGGAGTGTGTCAAGAGGAGGGAAGCAAAAAGTGCTGCTGTTGGCAGAAACAGCGAATGAGTGACTTTTTAAACTTTTAAACTTCCTTTTACCTCAAAACAACATGAAGCTCGGGGGGTGGGGGGGTGTGTGTGTGTGCATTATTTGGCGAGGATTCATCTGCAGCCTGTGGGTAAGATCAACTCATGAAACATCTGCACAAACAAAAAAAACACCTGCATAGAAGAGGAGATAAGTGTTTTTGTTAAACCAGGACATTAATTAGGCATCGGTTAGTTTGTGGTGTTCATTGTGTGTTTGTTGGTGTGGTTCTCAAACACACCTGCTGAAAGTCTGCATCAACAAACACTAAATGTGATTCTGGAAGATTATTGTTTAAATTATTCAGAAATCTAAAATGCATTTCTGTTTTTCATCATCGTTTGAATCACTTACACAGAAAGCATGATGACACACTTCATTGTGTTAATTCCTAGAGGGGTATTTAGATGCAAAGCTGCATCTGTGTGTGTCAGTGTGTGTGTGTGTGTGTGTGTGTGTGTGAGTGAGTCTAAACAAGCTTTGCATCCTGTTCACTTCGATCCGCGGTACAACAGAATCCGATCAGATGAATGGATGTGGATCAGGTAGAATGATTATTTTGATTCTCTCTCCTTAAGTTAGGTAGACTGTTTAATCCTCTGCCAGCAAAATGTTGTTGATAAAGCTTCTCAGAGCGAGTGTGTGCTTTGACTGACACGATGAGGTTTGCATGTTTAGACCACTACAAGAGGACAAAAATGCTAAAGAGGGAACATCAGAGAGAAGCAGAGCAGCTCCCAGTGGGTGTCTGCAAGCTGTCACTTACCTTCATCTGTCTTCAAGGCTGGCCTCCTCTTCAGTATCACTCAATAACTAAAGACACTCAGCCACCAAACGTGTCCCACAGCATTAAAACCAAGTCATTCAGATTTCTTTAATTTTTTTTTTTTTTTTACAAAAATATTTTACATTAGAAAACACGGCTTAAAATATACACAGTCCACTTGGTACTGCAATAACTGCAGAACTTTTCAACTCAAATATATCAGTCTATAAGTAAATATATCTTTACAGCAAGAATAAATCAAGAGCCATGTTAAGACTCTTGTCTTCAATAGAAGCTAGGGACGATTAAAGAAATGTCCAGCAGCAAAAAAGGCTCTTAAAACTCTATGACCTGCAGTGTAGGAAAAAAACAGGAATATAACCTTATCGGAAGTGGATCCAAAAGTTCCAACAAAACAAAAAGCAAGGAATGCTTCAAAAACCCAGAGTGAATGTGAACGAGTGGAAATACAAACAACAACAACAGAAGCTGCAGGTTCTCACGTCAGAGTCAAACTGAGGGATTTATGCAAGAAAACTGACAATCCAGCTCCACGTCCGCCCTCACAGCTCTCACTGAAGTTTAGACTCCTCCTGCAAAGAGCAGGAGCCAAAACATTCAAACATATCACAAGCTAACTGTCAAGTCCACGAGCATGGATGGATGTGTGTGTGTGTGTGTGTGTGTGTGTGTGTGTGTGTGTGTGTGTGTGTGTGTGTGTGTGTGTGTGGGCAGTGCGAGTGGAAAGAAATGCTTTAAAACTTCAAATTTAAAGTCTTTTCAAAATCAGTGTCCATGTTATTCTGGATCATCTACACACTTTGTTGTAAACCGTTTTCATCAGGTCTACTTTAAAACACAGGAAAAGAATCCCTCTGAATACTGCAGATAATTAAGAGAAACACTGAAAATGGTTTTGCAAAAAAAACACTTATGTTGAGATTTTAAAAATTGGATTTCAAATTGGACATGTGTAGAAAAGTAGAAATATTTTTTTCTTTACTGGCGTGAGGGCTGGATATCAGGTGAGGAGTGAAAAGATGTTTTCTGGTTATCTTTAAAAACATTTGGTGAACGTATCCTCTGATGTGATGTAAAATGGGTTACTGTGTGTTTCCTCTTTCTACCTGCTTACATCTGTTTAACTCCTCTGGATTTGAGTCACTGTTTCTGTAAACCTGTCACAAAACAAATAACTGTTGGTGCTCTTTGAATCTATTCCATTTCTTACAGTATTTCCCTGTAGAGAAGGAGGCAGTGTGAGCATTCAATAAGAACTCTGTAAAGCAGTGTGAGTGTAAAGATGCTTATAAGGATGATACTCTAGTTGGCAGTGCCAACCAAATGACATGTAAAATAAATAACAGCAAAATGAGCACAAAAAGATACCAAAGTGTAAAAGTGTTCCAGTTTGGCTCCCACTGAGAGTCCTCTAGCCCTCCACCAATCGGCTCAGGAGCTTTGTCCCCTGCTTTGGCATCATAGCAGTTCAGAGCGGAGGGCCAGCGAGAGCGTCCAGAGAGGTGGCAGCAGCCACAGGGGAGAGGGGGAGGGGCGGGCACCTAAAGGCGAGGCAGTGTCCGAGGTGCAGGAGCACACCTCGTACCCGTTCTCTGCGTGGTCCGGGTGTTGGTGCGCGTTGCCTCTTGTCTCCGTACTTTTGGGCTCTGTGTCCGGAGAGTCCGACTGCATCTCTGTGCACAGGAGCCAGTCTTTGGCGATGAGGCGGGGGAATCCTGCCTCCACCTCCATGTCACTGCCCGGCACTCGCCAGTACTCCTTCCCCTTGAAGAAGTAGGACGAGCCTACAGGGAGAGAGAAGAGGGTCGGTATTAGTGTGTGTGTGTGTGTGTGTGTGTGTGTAAACCAGAGCAGAAAACAAAACAGCAGGGTAATTTTTTTCACCAAAGAAACCCCTCTGAGAGGTGCAGAATATTATTGGTGGGAGAAAAAAGCCGATCAAAAAAAAGTACAATGCAGCGCAGCACCATCAGTGTTTAATGAAGTAAATAACAACCTTTTGACAGAAAACACTTTAACGGTGCTTTCAATCCCGAAAATGTGCATGAACGCAAACAGCCCAAATTTTTCCAATCCATCTTCAGCTGGACTTTTTTTCTTGCCAGCCCCCTGACTTTCTGTGTGCACTCGGGGTGAACAGATCTGAAAACTCAGAAGGAAATATTCAGGAAAATTCACAGCGAGTGTGCGGGAAGGAAGGGGAGAGGGGAGGGAGGGGGACGTTTATATCATGCAACTGGCATGAAGAGTATGCACTTGGTATGTCAGCAGACTGTTGGGTCCCTACCAATGAGTTTTGGAGTAGAGATATGATCAGCATACACACAAGCGTGCCAATTTTTTTTTTTTAACAATAAAAAAAATACATTATTATTTGAATATGATACCTATTTAGTCAAGCATTTTCCAATCTTACACTGCAATAACACTCAGCCATGAAGCTAGCCTAACATATTGATGTCTCTCAGAGGTATAAACATCTCCAGCTCTGTAGTAAATAAGTACAAATATCTGACTTTGTTTCCAGTTACATTTTCAAGCCAAAGACAAAAAAAAGTTAAGAAAATTCAAAACAATTCAACACAAATTTGCACTGGCATGAAAACCACCCCTGCACTTTATTGACACGAGAGAATAACAAACAACCTGTGCAGCAGTAGTTTTTGTTTTTTAACCTGCTGCTCAAATGGAAGCCTCAATTCTCTCAATATGAAAATAATAGCAGAGCTGGCACACATCAGTACTGTCAGCCACCATTCATAGTCCAACAAGCTTTTATTTTCCAGTGGCTGTTAGTTACTGTGGCATGGCAATGATTCAAACAGAGCCTCTGATGGATGATCTGATCCAAAATAAAGATGGCATGCACATCCAGCATATACTTGGATGCTGTGCAGAATAGCTGAGTTGTAGCCAACAACTGTAGTAGTGGCAGCCTGAGATTGAGCATGCACGAAACAAATCCTTAAGTTTAAAGGAATTGAATGCACGTCTGTTTAGATGCTTAGAGGAACTTATTTGGTGTAAGAAGGATCAGAGCAGATTCAGTTTGCTTTAGTTAGCTTAAACTATCTCCGGAAGAACAATCACATATATGTGGTTGGGGTAATCCACAAGAGGGGGGTTGAACTCCTTTAAGGGTGTGTTTGTGTGTTTATGTGTAACACCTCCTAGACTTTCCTGACACCCTAATTGCAGCGTGTCAGTTGATTGCTACTGACACTCCCATTACTGCGCCTGTCCTTTCACTGCAGGGCACCTCAGTTAATTAGAGTCATCGAAATACCACACTGGGCAGTGGCGATAAAAAAGCAGGAAACTAAACGCTGTGTGTGCTTGTGAGGAAAATAGCACTTAGAAGGTACAAAGCCTTTAAATGCAACATGTTCCATTATGGAGAACATGTTCAATCAGAATGATTTAAGCATATCACAGGGGTTAGGGAAAGATTCTGACCATAAACTCTTTTCATTTTTGCATGTCAAAAATAACTGATTTGAACACAACATGTTGGAGGGCTGCATTTTTTTCAAAAGGAGAATAAATGTTTTTTTAATGAATCGAAGAACTGGATGTGAAAAATCAACACGCTGTGATTTACTTGAGCAGAGGGGTTTGAATGTAGTTCAACACTCCTCTTCAGCTTCTTGACAACCTGACCTCTGAACAAGAACGAGTAACTAACATCCCGCTGGGCCCAAGTTATGTTTGTTTACTGTATGGATGAAAAGAGCTGGCCATATTTGAGGAAAAAGATTGTGAAGGTTGGGTAAAAAAGAATCATTGCCTCAAACTGGAAGATTACTAATAATATAAATGAGAATCTTTGACATATGACTCATTTTAGAACAAAAGTCAAACTTCATTTACTCCCCCTCTTATGAAACCTGGGACCAGATTAATTACAAAATATATAATATTACTTATCCTAAAAAAGAGAGAATAAGCACTTACAGTAATCTTTATTTCCTCACTTTCCCATCCCTCTCTCTTAAACTGTTTCTCACATATATATTCACTCCTGAAAAATCTAGATAATTGCAGGACTGCTCTGGATAGTCTCCTGACCTGGCTGTTCACATAAGCTCCTCATATTATGTGCACAGAGATCGTAGTGGTCGTATGCACTGACTCCAGTCACAGTATATACGTCACCCCCCCCCTCCCATTGGCTCGAGATACAGATTTGTTCTAATAGAAAATAAACTTTATGTATACATATAAACTTGATCATCACTATGTATGAATTGTGCAGAAATTGGCTGATGCCTGACTGTATATCAGCCTTTTCTCTCTCTCTTTCCAGTTTATGATTAACCATCATACTTGACCATCTTTTCTTCTTTCTTTCCGTTTTCTCTGTAACTGACCATATACTTTGCTACTTTATTTGATTGTGAATGAAAAACCTGATTAAAAAAAAGATAACCATGTGATACTAATGTGGCTCGTTCGTTCTCTCACATAGAACCTGTCATGATAATTGAGTATATTGATTGAATGAAAAACACGCAGAGGAGCTCCAAGGAAGTGAAATTGTTCTTGGGTTGTTGTAACGACCTCGAAGCTCACCATTAACTCTGGAGTCAGTATTGATATAAAGAACATTACTGAACCGTTTGTGGATCATAGTGGTGGTGGCGTTTTGATGTATTATTTTGAGAGGAAATAAATGAGTGGAGAGAAAATATTCAAGAGAGACGGGGAAGAATGTAAGTATTCAATCTGTGTTTTCCTGTTGTCAAGGTTTTGAACCCTACGTTAAATATCTACCAAAGAAAGTACGAGGGATATGTGAAAGAACCACTTTCTAAATAAAATGGTTTTGAAAAAATGATTGTGTTGAAATGTACTGCCAGTCTGGCTCTTTAGGCTTAAAGATATATAGCTTTTTGCTCTACATGTCTTTATCTACGGCCTTGATAATAACTTCAAAACATATGACCACGATCTCTTACCTCAATATGAGCTGCATTAACCCTTTGAGACTCTTAACACGGGGCACAACTGTCGTGGGGTTTCTTATCTGAAGTGGACAGCTCTACACCACGCACTGAAGTGTGACACCAAATGGGTCCTCAGTGACCACTTGTGATGGGATCTCATTTCCCCGCTCTATACAGTACATACACAAACACTTAGCCTCCATAGTTTTCTTTATAAACAATAGAATAAAGATCGATAGCAGCAGAGTATGAGAGACAAAACCCATGTGGATAAGTGAGAGGGAGAGAGCAGTGATTATGGGCCGCAGTGACAACGTGATACAGAAACTTGGTCTTATGAAGCCTGATATTAGTCCACACTGTATGAAGTCCACATGGAGGCAGACTGAAGTCTCTGGTAAACTAACAAACAGGCAGATAGATCTGCATGATTCTAAGAAGGATCCATTATGCAATGTGTGTGTCCTCACTGCACCTCCACACTATATTATTTGATAAACAGCCTGTGATATAATCTCTTGCTTTTGCTGTCGTTTCAAGCATGTGGAGACACAAGCTGGTTTCCAAACCACCTACTATACTAGTAGTATGTACTGATTTGGCAAGACCAGACGTATGCCAAAATTACCCTGATGTTGTACTGATAAGGTAAAAAAATCACAGTATGCATCAGACCAGTATTCCTTGCGTACCGTTTCCCACAATTCAAAGTGCTAGATGAGAGATTGAAATGAAGGAAAGCAACAGCTATCATAACAGGGGAAATAATCACAATCAGACGAAACCACACAGAGATAGCACCAATGATCTTTTTTGATTCTCAGACTGTAGGTTGATGCTACACTATAGCAGCATTTTCTGTCAGCTGGGCTGTTGATTACTACCGCGCTTCAAGACCGGAATCCAACCTGTGACTGGCAGTCATACTACATACTACTGTCAAACGTAGTAGAGTAATTCCCTCGCAGAGTAAGAGACAGAGCAGTACATTTGTTTATATGGCTCGTGTTCCGGCGCCCTCTCGCCCACTTGCCCACAATGCATGGTAACTTACTGGATCTTTACAAGATGCATACATTCTGTATTTTTGTGCACATTCAACTATGATGTATAAACTACATCCTGTATGTGTCCCAGAACAGATTCCTATGTGGTCTCAGTGATGAAATCTTGATGTATCCTCAATGGGTCCTGGTTGAGTTAACTTACTCTTAAGTAAGTCTACTTGTGATCGACTTTTAGGACACATTTGAAACTCCAAGTGCAAACAAAGCCTTTCTTTTATTTTCAAGGCCAAACTGAGGAGCAAAACTCTTACAAGAAGCCCAACGAAGAGGATGTTGACTGCTTTTTCTGATGTCCTTAATGCATACAACGAACAATTCAAATACCATAATGTAAAAAGGTAATGTAAATGACTTGAAGAATGCGTTAAGGGCTCACAACGCCTAGAAGAGTTTATTTCCTGAGCCTGATAATGAGAATACAAAGCAGGGCTGCAACTTGTTGGAATTAAAAATTAATTAAAAAAGGTATTCTCTTTAGTCCACAGAGCTCCATCATGTACCTCTTAATGTCTGTAGGCTGGCAGTAAAATAGTTCATTTTTATTTCGGTTCCTTAACTATAAAACACCAGTCCCAAAATAACTCAGCTAAGCCCTCTGCTGTGAGGACTGACCTTAATTTCCTCGCTTTCTGAATATGTCCTCATTCCCTGAGTCTAGAGCTGACCTTGAGATACAAATCCAAAAGAACACACACTCACAAAGTCCCCATCCTTATCCATCTATCACTATTATTAGAAGTCCAGGCCCATAGGGCAGAATGCCACTCTGGG